TGTCCAATGACTTATTTAACATATTTTGGAATGTCGAAGGACTTATTTGTTCTAAAAAATTGTCCAATGACTTATTTAACATGTTTTGGAATGTCCAATGACTTATTTGTTCCAAAAAAAGTCCAATGACTTAATCATTCCAAACAAGAAAGTCCATTGATTTTTATTGTACTTTTTTCCCAAGATAATAATATAAAATTAAATACAATAACATAAATTTGTAATTAAAAAAATATAAATTATAACATTTATACGTTTGGTCACTAAACTTACAAAGCTCTAAATTTATAGCATTAGCAGTTTTGGTGTGTAGAAAATTAGAATGTACTGATCGTGTCCCTAAAGTTTGATAATTACATATTTGGTCGTTAAACTTACAAAATTTAAACATTTGGTCCCTATAATTAGAGTATAAACACACTTTGGCTCTAAATTTATATCATTAACAGATTTGGTGCTTAGAAAATTAGAATGTACTGATCGTGTTCCTAACGTTTGATATTTTACATATTTGGTCCCTAAACTTACAAAATTTACACATTTGGTCCCTATAATTAGAGTATAGACACACTTTGCCTCTAAATTTATAGCATTAAAAGATTTGGTGCATAGAAAATTGGAATGTACTGATTGTGTCTCTAAAGGTTGATATTTTACACATTTGGTCTATAAACTTACAAAATTTACGCATTCAAACTGGTTTGCTGGGGCAGGAGATGGATAGTTTGTCCGAGTATGTCCACACTGACTACATTTTCTCTGGATTGGATCCTCACCACGAGATCGAATACAAACATGGTTACTCGATCTGCCAACCCATCTCTTTATCAGGGTGGACGAACTATCATAATTGGGTCGTCTAGAACAATCGATGTTTTTTCAGGGCCAACCGGATGAATGAGGCCTGCCTACGTTGCCCGAAAATTATTCATGGTGAAGTAAGCACACGCCAAATGGTTGCAGTCTGTACATCGTTGACTTCTTGCAATGGCGATTGCATGGTCGCAAGGTAAACCAGAAAGTTTTAATTTCAAACACGAGCAATGACTATTATTGTAATAGATTTCGACGTCCCTACGAAAATCACGCACTTCAAAGTAACCATTGCCAATTTCATGTACAGTCCATGATGAGGACTTATTGGATCTCTTTTGAATTTTGGCCTCTGTCCATGGGGTAAGAGCGTTGATCATTTTCTCTACAAAAAACATATTTGTTTCGTTAGTATTCTGCTAAAAATTAAGACAAAAATTTAAATGGAGATGTGTGACTATAATAACTTCCTTTATTATGACGTATAGAATACCACTCTCGTTGGAAGGTCTCAGAAGTACTCTATAAGGCCCGCAATTGGTAATTTTCAAGCATAACGGGACAATGCATTCACCGACTCGACACTGTTAGAAGTCATGATGTCGTAGCGTATACATGGGAAATAGGCCCTTGACCATTTCTTTGGCTCAATCTAGTCCATCAGTATAGATTTGATAGGTAAAGCACCTCGTAGACCCGCCATATTCCATTCGAAATCGTCAACCGTGTACGCTTTACAGGTCTTCCAAAACAATTTCTTCTTATATTTGATTATATTGTCCCTGTATTTTACGTTCATCTCTAGGTGGCGTATGATGGGCCATTAGGTACACTATGGTAATTGTTTGGTTTATTGAAGGAGCCTGTCTGATACGAAAACCAACCCTTCCATTTATCTGATACACTGTTTCAACATGGACAAAAACCAAGTCCACCCTTCTCCATTCTCAGACCTACCCACTTCAAAAGTGATGGGCACAATTTAGTTTTTTGCGTCCATAGCAACAGCTAAGAACATTGTGCCCAAGAGAGACCCCTTCAAATGAGCACCGTCAATTATAAGCACCCGATTCAAATGCGATACAAATGATCGAATTGGGAAAATTAGGTGGTTTACATATTAGAAAATTATACTATATAGTTGTGCAAGAAATAAAAATAATTTAAAATGGTGAAAAGGGGTTACAACAAAACTATACGTACCGCACAACCAAGAGCAGCGAATCACATCTCAAACCGTCCTCTATTATCTGTCCTAATTTGTGTCATTGTACCAGGATTATGGAGCTCCAAATTATATATAGACACGCAGGGAGTCGGGTAAATGAATCCGTCAGGCCACCCTTCACCATCATTGTTGATAGTACTTTATGCTTTAAGACTTGTAATTAAGACTTTTGTCTAAATGCTTATTAATGTAGTATAGATTATATATCATAGGTGGTGGAATAAATAAACAGGTAACCACATAAACACAATTATTTTAAATTAACTTACTTACCAAAACTTTCAAAATCAATCCAAATTATATAACCGGAACACGGTTATCACAATTTCACTCCTGACATCAAGTTTTAGAGGATTCTCTAAACTTTGAGTGTTTTTCACGTTTTCTCTATTTTAAAGAACAATAAAAACTATTATCATAAGATATTGTTTTATATGATCTTTTTCCATCAAAAGCTAGAATTCAATATATTAATTAACATACACTTGTTTCACAATATGTTTGTTTCATATGTATTCGATTCACAAAATAAAACTTCTTAGTTGAATTTTTTTTTTGTTTTACAAACCATAAAAGATGTCCACACTGTGAAACAAACACTTTTTGAAACATATATATTCTAATCAATATACTAAATCTAAGTTGTATTTATAAAAAAAATCAAGTGAAATAGCACATGTTGCACCAATTCTCAAGGTTACGATAATTTAATGGGTTTTTAAGTGAAGACCCTCATTAATTAAATACATTTATTAAGTTACACATAAAATTAAATAAAATATCATTTAAAAATGAATATAATATGATATTTTACCCTCAAAATAATTACAAATTCAATATTATTTGTTTTAAAACATGAAACAAGAGGGAAAACAGGATTTCAAAAGTTAATTTTGAAACAAAAATATCCAAAATTCCCTTAAAATAATTTTATTTTAAGTTGATGACAAAATTTTGATTTGGTTATGGAAAATTAAAAGGTTTGATTTTGGATGCTTGTGGAGTAGACCTCCAAATGAACCACTCCAAAAGCATTGTGCCTTTTTATTTGTATCATTTTATATGCTTTTCATTTGTCCTTATATCCTTCTCAATATTTTTTTATTAACCTGGATATTCAACCCGCTATACGAGCCGACTAATTCCAGGACGACCACCTGCTTTGCAAATAGTTCGGAGTCACCGCATTTGAACCTCCGCGGCCACAAGAGAATTTTTATTCTTCCTTGGATTTGAACCTAAGACCTCTTGGTATTTTTGACCTTTGGAGCCAAAATCAAACCAATTAGACACCACCCTTGGTACTGCTTTTTATAATAACTATAAGATTTAAAATATTTTATATATTTAATTCAAAGTAAATAATTGTTTATGATAACTATGTTTAAGTAAAAAGTTACTATGTAAGTTCTACCATTTTTTTACCATGATGAAAATGAATTTGTGTAAGATTTTTAACTCATTGATACCGAAAATTTATAAAATAAATACAAATTAGTTGCTTCCATAATATTATATATATATATAGAGAGAGAGGACGTTTCAAATGCAACTTATTATATTTGTACAACAAATGCAACTCAATCAATTGATATTTTTATGGAAATGATGAGAGTTCATTTATTATGATTTGAATATTTATGAAATATGATTAGAGTTCATTAATTATGATCAACATTTTATATAGAAAACAATCAAAACTTTTATAAAATTACATATTCATCAAATTAAATGGACGATTGAAATTGAGTTGTATTAATTGTACAAATGTAAAAGGTTGCATAATAATTCTCTCATATATATATATATATATATATATATATTCAAGTACTACATTATGAACAAAATGATTGTTGGTTTTCAATAAATAAATAAAAAAGTGGTTCTGTGAGTGCCCATGGGATTTTTTTATATTAAAATTTGATAATGCCCTTTAATTACTTTATATTATGATAAGCCATGCAGAGTATGGAACTTTCAAAAATTAGAAAGAAAAATTACATGAAAGGTTAAATAAATAAATAAAAGCTTTTAAATACATGATGTTTTGTGGGTAGCCCAAAGTTACTGTATTTGAATTTCCGTAGTCACAAAAGAATTTTTATTTCTACTTGGATTTGAACCTGAGATTTTCAGACACTTTTGATCTTTGGAGCCCAAACTTAAACTAATCAGTATTTTTTTTTCCTCCAATAGGTGTAATAATATATATTGTAATAGAGAAAATAAGGAAGATAATGTGAAAATCATCAAATTAAAGCCCAATATTTAAGTAAAAATGATATTTTAATCTTTCACAAAGAATATTAAAACCAAATAATCAATTTAAAAAATTAAAGATTGTTAGAAATAATCAAATTTTTATACCAATTTCCTAACTATTTTATTGTTTTCATTATTATAATGAAACGTTACACTTGTCTTTGACAAAGGAAAACCGTAAGCAATTAAAAGGGTACCAAATCGAAACTATGCTAATACATCAGGGACTAAAAGTGAAACATTCTCAGATTTGAAATTTCAGACCGTTCACATCCACCAACGGTTACTCCACTTCTTACACTGAAACAGACATCGAGACATCATCCAGAACCCACCAACAAATCCCCTATCAAAACTCACACACTTCACCAGCAACACACACTAAAATGGGTTGCGTATCTTCTAAACACATCAAGAAAGATCTCAAGAAAGAGATGCTGTTAAATGGCGGTGGAGATTTCACCCACCACGTTGTTTCCCTCACTTCTTCAACCTACGGTGCTCTCAAACTCGACAAAGATCAGCAACCGCCACCGCCGGCGGCACCGGTTACTCCCACCAAACAGAAGAACTCGCCGCCGCGAAGGTCCAACCAAGGGCCGCCGGAGATCATCAATGCTTGGGAGCTAATGGAGGATCTTGAAGATGAACCACAAGCACCCATTTCGATTCCAGCGAAGAAAAGCCCCAAATTGAGACGTGGGTTTGCGGAAATCGATGTGAAAACTCCGATGAAGTTCTTGAATCAGTTGGGTTCTTCTCCGAAGGTGTCCAAGAGGTTTTCCGGCAAAGAAAATAAGAAAGTTGGGTCACGGAAATTGGATTATAGTCCAAAGATAACGATCGTAAAGGCTTCGACTTTACCCCCAAATCTTCGGATTTCGAAGAGGGGTGGCTCGGAATCGCCGGTGGAATCGGGTTTGAACTCGGCTCGAAGGCGGAATCTTGGGCCGTTGTTTGATCCAGATCTTATCGATCCAATCGGAAGAAAGAAGTTTCAAGAGAAAGAACAGATCAAGAAGATGATTTCAGCAACACCCACAATCCAAAAATCAAGAAACTCGATCGAATCAAAGTCCATTCTCGAAACTTTCGAGAACAAATTCCCTTCGGGTGGTGAAAATGCGGTGGTGATTTACACCACCACATTGCGGGGAATCCGGAAAACTTTCGAGGACTGTAACACAGTCCGTGGAATCATCGAATCACACAACGTTCGTATGATCGAACGGGATGTGTCGATGGATTCGGGGTTCAAAGAAGAAGTAAGGGCGTTATTGGGAAAGAAACAAGTGACGGTTCCGATCGTGCTCGTGAAAGGGCGATTGATCGGTGGATCGAACGAGATAATGAAGTTAGAGGAGGAGGGTAAATTGGGTATTTTACTAGACGGGATTCCGACGGTGGCGGCGACGGGGTGCAAGGGATGCGGTGGTGTACGCTTCGTGATGTGTACGGTGTGCAATGGGAGTTGTAAACTGATCGGGGGCGATGGGCGGAGGAGCATCAAATGTGTAGATTGCAATGAGAATGGGTTGGTTCAATGCCCCATTTGTTGTTAAATTACTAATTTGGACACGAGGTTAGTACAAAGTCATATGTATTCTTACCTTGGAATTATGACCAATTTGGTCATAAATTAGGGAAATTTGGGGGGAGGGTTGAGGTTATTTATACCTTAAATATTAATTTTTGTTAAAATCCATATGATTTTGGGTTTGACTTTTAGTCAACGGGACATGGAGTTGAAATTGTTTCAACTTTTGATGTTAATTTGTTGCTTTATTTTCTCTAGGTGTTTGTTGGGTGTTGGTTATTAATGTTAGATTCTTGTCTATTTTTTTATTTTTTTTTATAAAAATGTTTACAAATTTATTGAATGATTTAGGGGTGTTTGGGATTGATTATAAAAACAACGTGTTGACTTATTCTAGTGTGACATTGGTAATAAACACTTTTGAGTGTTTGGATAAACAACTTATACCGGTGCCAAACCGGTAATAAGAAGTATTTTAAGAAGTGAAATCCTTCTGACTTATAATAAGTTGATAAGTGCTTTTGTAGAAAAGTATAAGTTGTTTTAAATAAGCAATTCCAAACACCCCCTTAATGTTTGAAAAAAAAACATTTAAGTGAATAATATCATTTGATTAGTGTATATATACGTATAAATGGACGTTTATCCGGTAAGTGAGAAATAAAACTCTTAACTGGTAAACGTTTATTTGGTAAAAAATATGTCGTAACAATCGTTTTTGATGGACGAGAATAAATAAGTGAGTATAGTAACTTATGTCGACCTGTAGTATATTGTAAGGGGTTGTTTGTTTACCTCTTAATAGTTCCATTAAGAGGCAACTTCTGAATCCTTAATAAGTGAATCTTGTTTGGCAAGAAAAAAGTCTGTCTTTTAATGGTTCCAAAACCCTCTGAATGATTTTGTATCATGGATCTCACTTAACCATTAAGAGCCCTAATTTTATTGTACATAATTACCAAACAATTATATTTCATTTTGCACTATATCACGAGAGCATCTTAATCATTCTGACCATTTAATAATTTTACACCAAACTATTAAACAATTGTCAAACAACCCATAAATGTTTGATAAAAAGCCCTACAGCCTTGGTGTAATTTAAAATGAAAAATGAATTTTATTTGATATGAATTGTTAAATAAAATATAAAAGGGACATAAAAGTAACTTTAATAAAATGTGACTAACATTTATGATCACATTTTTTAATGTAAAGAATCTTTTTTATAAAAACCAGTGACGCTTTAAATACATTTGTCGTGATAAAAAAAAAGGTGGTCACAAATGCTATGTTTTATGACGATAAAAAGTTTTAGATGTGATTAAAGATAATATTTATAGGGGTAGATTAAATGTATATCTACCTACTAATATTTCCTTGCGGTCAAAAGAGGAATAAAAAATTTTCAATTCCATCTTATCAGTCATGAGTTCTTGATCAAAATGGATATATATCTTATTTCTCTCATATGCTGCAATTCGAAAGAAAAATGTTTCCTGAGGCATATTTATTGAGGTGGTCAAATTCGTTCTTCCAGTGAAAATTCACAGTAAAACATATCAAAGGAACATAGAATATTCTCGCAGATTTTCTGTCACAACCAAAAGGCTATACATGTAGTACTAAAAAGGTCCGACCCATCCTCAAGAACAAAATCCTCTCAATGGTGTTCCAAATAGCTAAATCAAGTTCTTCAAACCAAGATGCCTCTCAAGCCATCATCATGAACCTCACAGAAGAAATCACAGAAACCATCGCCGACTTGACTCTGAAAGAAAGATCTCACCTTAACTACAAAACGTTCATTACCATCACCCTGCAAAAGCATGGCCTCTTCATTAAAAATCTCAAGTTTCACCCTGATTACCTTCCTGAACATCTTCCACATTCACGATTTGAATGGGTTACCAAAAGAAGCACTATGTTTTTTGGGTATCTTTTCGAGTCCTTCATTATTGTCGTTTCGTTCAATGCTGTCAAACTATACTCATACTTGTTCCAATGTCAATTCGAGAAAGCCCCAAAAGTTCCAAAAATGTCTTCACCCTCTACAGTTGGTTCGATCTTCCTCACAAATGGCTCCAAAAGCTATCCACGTGCTATAAGACTTATGTAGTCATCATGTTCAGAAGACCCTGTTCTTTCCTACCTCGTACGGTAATTATAGGACAAACACAATCAATAGTTTATGGCATGCAGAACAAATCAAGTAATACGTGGTCTTCTTTTCGAGTCCTTCACTAATACGTGGTCATCTTTTCGAGTCCTTCACTAATACGTGGTCTTCTCGCCAGTACAAATCAAGTAAGTCCCCAGACAATTCCAATGCATGTCATGGAAAACAAAGATTTATGGCATGTAGAACACCCACTATCATCGAAGTGGAATGAGTCTGTCCAACAGTGGTTTCAAACTCATTTATCACAAAAAATAGATACCTCTGACAAATATGACTCCACGGACAAAGAATAAGATGACGATTACGACCCATATGAAGAGCATTTTGACCCGTATGAAGACGATCAATCTCATCCGGATTCACGTTGGAAAGAATTATTGTTATGTATTAAATATTCACATTTAAAATTTGTATATTAGTTTTTATTTTGAAATTTATTATAATTGTTTTACAACATGAGCTTCAAGATTATTTGATTGGTTTTCATTAAATTTTGTATAAATAAAGTTTTCTGTATGAATTATTATGTAGACTAATCGATCTATATAGACTAGAAATGTTTTTGTTTGATGGTTTTTACATAAATGGAAGGAACGTGTTTTTTAATTGGGAGAGACATGTTTGGAAAAAAAACTTTACTTTTGGCATAAAACTCCTAGAAGCTTACTGAATAAGTCATTTTTTATATAATTAAGCCATCTATCAAACAGTTATCTATAGTTACCCAAATAAGTTGTGAATCTTATTAAACTAATTAAGCTGTTAACAGACGTTTATGTTCACAAGTTATAACTTATATCAGTTATGATACTTCCCTTGAACTTTCACTACCGATAGGTTCGCAAAATGAAGGGAAAATATCGTCCGATATGACCCCATGCCAGAACACGAATTCAATATCATCATTTCCATAAAATCGTAATAAAAAAATATTCGAGTTCTCCAAAGCTGTGTTTGTAGATCGGTTTTTTGTACGAAAACTCTCAATTCGTAACCTACTTTACACCTCTCTCTTTTCAACGCTATCTACTCCAAAAGATTATTCTACAAGAAAAGCGATGAGGATGTCGTTACCTTAAGTTGGTCGTTAATCCAAGTGACAGATGGGAAGAGGGTGCGGATCGGTAAGCCTTATGAAGGCTTCAGTTCTCTCCGTTCCCACCACCGAAACCACGAACGCTTGGCCGTCCAGATGAGCCTGCAAATTGTTTTCTTGATTCTGATCTTCTCTTCCTCCTGGCAGTACCTGGAGGAGCCTGAAATTTCAAGAAAACAAGCATCGTTTGTTTCATATCCGTTGATTGGTTTAAGAACCCAGTGCCCACAATGAGTCCAATCCCCGAAGCAATTGGGGTCCTTCAGCTAAATGACCTCTTGACATGTATTTTTAAAATCCATGACCTTCTGACAAGTTTTTAGGCATTCTTGTCATAACGTCATGGATTTAAAAAACACTTGTCAGGAGGTCAATTAGCTAAATAATCCAAAGGAATTGCAACTCCACAATGCAGCTGCAAGACTCGAACCCTTGTCTGTGGAACCAACTGTGCCATGCCCTGGGGACAGACTCATGTAGATCAACTCTATACTTATAACATAAACACAAATCCATCCGAGTCCTATTGATTTCTTATTGGCATCGAGCAGATCATTTTACCATTCTAAGTTGGTAACTAACTATTCATAAGTTGAGGGACAATTCAACTTGGGTCTATCAAGTTCTATGCAATGGATGTTTGAAGATGAATCTTGGATCTAAAAATGAAAGCGGCACCTTTTGTTCGGATTTCATGGCCTCTTCGAGGTTGCTAAGTGCAGGAACCGATCCACCTTCCATTACACCCATCAAATTCTTCATTCGAACACGCATTTGAAAAAGCTGAGCAACAAGTTGGCTCACCTGCCATTCAACAAAGATCTTACTAAAACCATGAAAAGATATGCTAGTTACCGTTTAAACCTTCTTTTAGGCTATCTTTGGCAAACTAGTTGATGCTGAAAAGCTAGTTGTTGGCGACACGAAAATAAAACAAAACCAAGAAACACTAAATATACCTGCTGCTCGGTTTTTCCAGATTCTTGAGCAATACGCTTTCTCCTGGCAGGGGATTCAGCAAGCAGTTCAGGCTTCTCCCTTTCCTCTGAAAATAACACCAGAAACCACATCAAATGTGTTCATCATTCTCTTTGTTGAAGATTCTACAATAAAATTATAATTTTTCGCCAACAAATAACTTAAAATATATAGGTTTAGGATGAAAAACCTGGGGTCATCACTTCAATCATTGCTTCCATTATTAGCAAGCTCTTTTCTGCCTCCCGAATTTGTGCAGGAGTAACCTGTCCCATTCAAGACGAGTGAGCGGGAATTATGAATCTTTCAGTTCAGGAATGAATGCAACATAAAGAGTTGGAACAATATAGGGATCATAACTAGTGTTGTCTTAACCATTTATATAAGATTTTCTCGTTATCTAGGGTGTGGGTGGTATGTGGACAGAACTGGATGGACGAAAGTGAGGTAGGCGGGTAAAAGAACTTCGGAAGATATTAGAGTTTTGATTTGACATGGGTATAGGTTAGCAAATAGTAATTTACCAATTTTGTTTTATCTACCTATTTTTGTTCCACCCATTTTGGCGGGACACAGAAAAAAACATTTTTGTCCCACTCGAGTCTTGTCCTATCCCACTCTCGTCATGTATAAACGTGGGACAAGAAGTTTTTGTTTTGTCCCGTCCGCTCCCACGTACCAGACATACCCTCGAACATATATGCATATAGAAACAAAAGCAATACATGAAAAAATAATTGGCAACAGCCTAGGTCCGGTACCTTTCCCATTCCTGGAATCATTCCAAGAACACGAGACATGGAACCCATCCGTGCAACAGCACGTGTTTGCTTTAAGAAGTCATTGAAGTCGAACTTTGCACTCATGATCTTCTTCTGCAAATCTTCAGCATCTTCTTGGCGCATCTACCCATAGTTGGATGAGTGTTATCTCAAGCTATTATAGTTTACAGGAAAAAAGAAAAAAAAAACCGATATGCGGTTAATAGGTACTCACAACTTCTTGTGCCTTCTCCACGAATGAAAGAACATCTCCCATGCCCAAAATGCGTCCTGCCATACGATCTGGATAGAAGGGTTCAAGGTCCTCCATCCGCTCTCCACGTCCTACAAGCTTGATCGGCTTTCCTGATACCTAAAATGCCCAAATTAAAGGGTCACTTGGATGAATGACCTTCTCACAAGTTCCTTTTAAATCCATAACATTCTAACAGGTTTGAGAATGCCACTTCCATACACAAGAATGCTACTAAACTTGGCAGAAGGTTATGTTGTGATTAAAATCTCTCATTTAAGGTCGATATCCTAAATAGTCCCCGGTTAAACGGCTATATGTGAAATAAGCATTATGGGTCAAATCCAAAGCTCATGTGAGAAAGATATTGTTAGCTAATACAACTTCCATCCCAAGATAAGTGTCCACATTTCTATTTTAGTTTGATCAAAAGTAAGCACCCCCTTTCAATAGTAAGTGCCTACTTACCAATTTTACCCTTAATTATGAGATGGAGAAATTCATTACTCCCTCTATAATAAAGAATATAATTGTCATTTAGTTCATTAAAAAGTAACAAAGTATAATAATTATACATTTCTAAAACCGTGCGTTTTTTTCATTGTGGACATTTATTATGGGATGGAGGGAGTATGTATTTTCTCACTTTAGAAGGCCAACCTCTTTAACACTCAGAGCTGCTCCACCTCTTGAATCACCATCTAGTTTGGTTAGAATGGCTCCAGTAATTCCAATTTCAACGTTAAAAGTGGTCACCAAGGCTGCAATATCACCACGATCAGTATGGTAAAAAATGAAAATGGGAATCTCAGTAGCTGCAAGAATAAGTAAGAATCACATGAAAATAGTTCAGTAGTTCAGTTTCTGTACAACACCACTCAGAGGAATGAGAAACAAGATTACGATCGTTCCTTTACAATATATGAAATAAGGATCGAAGGATGCTGACTCCTGAAAAAAGCAATGGACCATATAACTCTCCAGGTTTGTTCCTTGATATTCAGCAGATGCGACTATGGTCTGTGTTAAAACATTTTTTTATTGTAACCGTGGTGTCCGGGCCAGTTTGCACACTCCTCTAATCCCATGAGGCCCTCAAGACAACAACCAGAAAAATCCCTAGTGGCCCTGAGGAGACTCTAACCAGGAACCCCAAGGCCTAACCTTTAGCCTATATTTGCCAGTTGAGTTAGCCCTCAAGACAACAAGAAAAATCCCTAGTGGCCCTGAGGAGACTCGAACCAGGAACCCCAAGGCCTAGCCTTTAGCCTATATTTGCCAGTTGAGTTGGCCCTCAAGGTTGTGTTAAAACACTTCTTTAGCAGACATGGAGATATGAGCTTTGTCCATATGGTATCAATAAAATTTAGAAATCCATGACGATTACATATTCTCTTGGATGGTTCAAGTCTTGAAAAGCATTGTTGATGAAAAGCAGAGAAAGTTGTGGAGATGTGTGTATTTATCTTCGACCCATCGACCCATTCATAAATGAAAAAGATTTAGAAACTCAAGACAGTTGACCTGTTCTCTTGGATGGTTAGCAACAGCCTGGCTTGCCACAATAAACTATTAAACTTTGTACAGCCACAACGCTAATGAAAACTTTCGTATTACAATTAATATGTCCATATATGCATGAGAAGAAGAAAGAAATGGAAAGAAAATAAATAAAATAATAAAGACAGAAAGTGATGTTAGAAAAAGGCAATGTGTTAATAACAAGGGTTGAAGAGCATATAACTGGATATGTAAATTAATAAACGAAAGAAAAATAATAACTACCCACATAATATGCACAACAGTCAAAGGGTTATTTAGCTAAATGATCTTCTGACATGGGATTTTTAAATCATGACCTTTTAACAGGTTTCTAGATATTTCTGTGTATGGGAGTGGCATTCTTTTGATGCGCAATGGTCTTCTCAAACTTGTCAGAAGGTAAGGTGGTGGAGTAAAAAAAAACTATTAGGGCCCGTTTGGAAGGATATGGAATTGAATTCCATTCCAAGCCTATGTTTGGTTTGAAAGAACGTTTGGATTTTAAATCTCAGAAAGAATCCCACAACCGAAGGATTTCGAAATCCCATGGGGGTACTTGGTATTTCACGGGTTTTCACAAGATTTGTTTGTAATAATGTTCAAAAATATGTTGAAAGCATTCATCTTATAATAATAAAAAATAAAAGGTAATTTAATTACTTTTATAATCAACTATAATTTGTGTTCATAAATTATCTATAATTTGTGTTTATAAATTATCTCTAAAAATGGAATTCAATTCCATTCCAAATCCTACAAACCAAAAACAGCAAAGATTCCAAATCCTCTGATAGAGATATATGTAGTTGAAGTGAGTGCCAGGTGTTGTAATATGATTGCTGTTATGGTTTGGTTAGTTTGCTGACCTTTGTATAAAAGGTGTTGCCGAGTACAACTTCATTAACAATAATAATAACGAAAATCACTTCTCTCTACTTTCTTCTCTCTAGATTATGAAGAATTTCATCCTCCCAATTCCAAATCCTTCCATGAAATCCAAATTCCTCAAAAACATTTTGTCAAATTGGTGCGCCCCTTAGAAGGTCATTTGACCAAAGCTATGATGAGCTACAAAGTCCCTAAACCAAACCAAATCAAACCAACCCAGTAAATCCCACACGAAGTGGGGTCTGGGGAGGATAAGATGTAAACAGCCTTTTTCCTCTACCCAAGGAGTAAAGAAGCTATTTCTATGAAGATCCCCGAGTTATGAATTTAATACGAAAAAGTTAAAGCCAAATTTGTTTTGGGGAAGGAAGGAAGACCAACTCCAAAAGACCAATGTGATGTTCCTACCTGCAGCTTCTTGGCCAGTCATTGCATCCACAACAAGCAAAACTTCCGTGGGATTCAATGTCCGCTTCACATCCTTCAATTCCTCCATCATAGTTTTGTCTATCTGATAACAAAAGGCAAAGAAATAAGCTAAAGGGTGCTTGGCTTATTGCAGTATCTAGAATAATCAAAGTGCATGCTATATAACCTGAAGCCTTCCTGCTGTATCCATTATGACTACATCCACTTTCTTCTTTTTAGCCTCTTGAAGACCTTGCCTAGCTATTTCTGCCGGTTTCACATCGGTGCCTGCTGCATACACAGGAACATCCACCTGTAACGAGCTTATATCTATGAGAACGAGTTTTAAGTGATCGACTAAAAATAAGACCACTGAAAGCACGATGAAAACTAATTTTAGGAACTTTTCGATGGGTTTTTATGTAGTTATCCTTCCTTCTAACAAATTCAGGATCCACAGCACTTTTAGGAATTTGAAAGCATTAAGTGCTTCTGCATCAACTAATAAAATTATGGTCCAAAACCATCTGTAAATACTGTCTAACTGGTATGAAGTTCACTCATGATTGTATTCTTTTTTGGCCTCCTAAACAAGCATAACATAAACGCAAAGGAAGCTAACTCTATTATGAAGAAATAAAATACTCCCTCCATACCAAAATACATGTCCACAATGAAAATGCACAAAATTTTAAAATTTTGTGTGATTATTACCCTTTTTAATTAACCAAATAACAAATTTACAGAGAGTAATGAATTTCTCCATCTCATAATTAAGGGTAGAATTGGAAAGTAGAAACTTACCTGTAAAAGTGGAGACTTATTTTGGGACAAACTAAAACAGAAATATGAACGATTATTTTGGGATGGAGGGTTCATACCTGTTTGCCCAAAATAACGAGTTGATCAATTGCAGCTGGTCTATATACATCTCCAGCAATCAGCATGCAACTCTTTCCCTATTAGATTGTTTTACATTATAATTGCAAAAAAGGTAAGACGTAAGTAACTATACACAGTTCTTCGGACTGACAAAAGGCGTATGGAAAATATTATATTGTACAAGTGTAAGATAGAGGGGTTTAAAAGCAGCTCACCTGTTTCTTTAGGTACAAAGCTAATTTAGCACTAACAGTTGTCTTTCCGACACCTTGTAGACCAGCCAGTAAGATCACAGTGGGGCCAGATTTTGCAAAAGTTAATTCGGAAACCTCTCCTCCCATCAACTTCACAAGTTCTTCACTGACAATCTGCATAAATCAGTAATCAAATGAACAGGGATCCAGTAATATATATTTCTTTTCAGGAAGAGTTATATAGGAGTATCAAGATTGCTCGATATTTTCTTCATTTCCTACACGTAATAGGTAACAGGAAGATTTAGAAATTTGTAAATATTATACTTTTTAAATACCTAAATGGCTATTTTACCCTTAATAATAAAAGGAGTAATTGAATTTATCTATATCATAAGGATATAATTGGAATGTAGGAACTTACTTTTGAAAGTGGACACTTATTTTGGGAAAAACTATAATAAAAATGTGGACATTTATTTTGGACGGAGAGAGTATAAAAATGAACAACTTGTCAATTTCTCCATCTCATGATTAAGGTAGAATTGGAAAGCTGACACTTATTTTTGAAAGTCGAGTAGTCTTTCTCTCAAATTCATATATTGACAGTGTTTTGGAAGAAGTGATACATATAATTGTTAAATATGAGCAATATGAGCATTTAAAGAAAAATTGTTTGAGAGGTGTAACCATTTGTCTTGTATAAAACTTCAAGATATAGTTTCTGTATCACTATGTTTACGAGCCTTCCTCCATTACCCTGAAGAAGATCATAGTATAATGCAGACTGAATTATTTATATCCACTACGCAAGAAAAAACATACTTTAACCAATTGTTGATCTGGTCTGACTCCTCGAATCACGCCAACACCAACAGCTTGTTCACTTACATCTTGAACAAACCTTCTTACAACAGGAAGGCTAACCTGCCAACCAAAATTATAAACTTACTACTAAAGATGAAATGGTTTTATTAAGCATATACATTTCTAGGGGGCAGGTTTAAATGAGAATGGTAAATATTTTGAGAACCTCTTAAGTCTTAACCAACTATTTGTTCTTTTATTTATGATGAATGTTGTGATAGATACTCATAATGAGATTACATGATATTGATGATGTAAATGCATGCTATCACGAATAATGGTAATGCATGATATTCGTGATGAATAGTATTCATGATTATTCAGGGTTATTCACCACGAATAATACACGAAATAGTTGGTTCTCAGGTTCTCAAATTATTTATACTTTTTTTTTTGTAAGGGTGTCCGGGCCAAAGCCCGACTAATCCCCGGCAAATTTGAAGGCTAAACAGGCCCCACTTAAATGTCGCCAACACTCCCCTCCCAGGGTTCGAACTCGGGTTCATGACTATGCCATGCCCAAGCCTTTACCACTAGGCTGGAAGGTCTTTGACAAATATTTATACTTCTCATTTGATTTTCTGCACATTTTTAGTAAGAAAATACATATGCAGCAAAAAATAAAAAAAATTGCACATACATCTGCTTCTAAAAGAGCTCTCCTAATGTCCCTCATGGGTTCCACAATATTCTCCTTCGTTAGCACCTCTGAAGCACATAATATTTACAGCAACAGCTAGTCAACAATAATGACATGAAAATTAACAAGATGTAAGCAAGAAGAGCTACACTCATATCTACCCAAACAATTAACAGAAGTAATTATACTAATAACTACTTTGCAATTCATAATTAGACTTCATGGCCTGCTTTGAAACAAGCTTCTTTATAAATGAAAAATCAGTCAAGAATCAATGAGCTGTAAACTAAGATTTCTTACTCCTACATTTATGTCAATTTGAGTTTGAATTTCTGAAATCAGAAACAAACTCCAATCATGGGATTAAGGAGTGTAAGATTGTAATCAATCAAAAAGGAGTTACAAATTTCTCTAAAACATTCGATTAGAAAAGAACTCCATGATGCCCACACAACATATGAATTGAGAAGGAAAAACACAGTGAATTTATAAAGGTAGGAGTATATAAAACCTTCGCCCTTGAGTTTGTTCCAAGCGGATTCGAGGCCACTAGTGAGCTGACCGAACATCTCTGCTCTGATGACCCCACGCCTCTCTCTCCTGACCGTAATTACTCTCTGAGAATTCACAATTCCCCAAAGCTCTCTCTAAAAAACAACAGATTTAGCAACACAAACAGAAGTAAAATAAGAAATGATGATTGATACAGTAAGTAAATGAAGTACTAACCGAAGAAGATGAAATGTTGGATCGGAATGAGAGTGAAGAAGACGAAGGTGTAGAAGAGTGAGTGGTGGTCTTTCGTGGAAAAGTAGTGGAGAAATGGCGGGAAGCAACCGTAGAGAAAGTTAAGGCCTCCATAGCCATTACTGGTCTCTTTGTGCGTATCCGGAAAGAGTTTTTGTTATCCACAACCAAAGAAACAAGAAAGGCATACACAATGAGGTGGACTTTCTATCCGTTTCCCTTGATATGCTGTATCAGCGGTGCACCATTCTATTTACAGATCAACGGCCATAATAAACTTGAATTATTACTATTATATTTTCAAATAAAAATTCCTTGAATAAGTTTCTAATTTTTTTAAATAAATAAACTATAAAAAGAATTCGATACATAGGGTTTTGGAAACATGGCACCGCAACGGTGGACTCATGATTTTTATTGAATGAGTATATCTTTAAAGTAGATCAAACGTTTGTAAAATCGTTCGATATGTTTTTAGTTGAATTCCACCGTTTTTTAAAAAAAATTAAAGTTTTCGAGTGTTTTGGTTGATGTTCCTAATATTATGTAGTATTGCATAGCATCTTTCAAAATTTACTGGATGCACAATGCATGCATTAAAAAAAATTCTACTGAGGAAAATAAGTTGAGCAGGTGTACAAGATCCCGCTTGAGGGTTTGATAGGTCTGCCCCTCGCAATGAAAATGGATGATGTTGGACACGAGGGGTTTGAATGATATTAGAGTTTGAAAAAGGTAAAACTAATTTATTTATTTTTTAACTTTAAAATCTTCTTATCCCAATTATATTTTTTTTATTAGCCTGGATATCTAACTCACTATGCGAGCCGACTAATCTCAGGACGACCACCTGTTTTGCAGATAGCCCGGAGTCACTGCATTTAAACCTCCATGGCCACAAGAGAATTTTTATTCCTTCTTGGATTTAAACATGTCAAGAGAATTTTTATTCCTTCTTGGATTTAAACATGTGACCTCCTGCTACTTTTGACATTTGGAATGAAAATGATATATTAATGGTTTAACATTATCCAATCTTGTCCAGTTCTGTGTCTATACACCAACCTCAACCTCAGTTCGAAACACAAATCATCTCCATAACAAAATTCTTGTTTTTTTGGGACAAATTTGCAAAACCGGAAACCTACACAACCGTATCGATCTCAGAAACGCAGTGTTCTTCAACAAGAGGAACCGTCTTTCGCACAATCAGTTTCATTGGAGCCCCTACATGAAATCCAAGCTCAACATTATAATTTCCACATATATTTAACTATTAATTAAATACATTAACCTTCTTCAATACTAATGAAATTACATAATGTTAACCTAAAATGTTGCCAAATAATAGAAAGGCATTGCAATTTGATGGTGGGAATACTTTTTACTGCCAAAATTAACAACTACACTGAATTTATTTTTTTGATTAACCTGGATATCCAACTCGCTATGCGAGCCGACTAATACCAGGGCGACTACCTGCTTTGCAGATAGCCCGGAGTCACCGCATTTGAACCTCCGTGGCCATAAGAGGATTTTTATTCCTCCTTGGATTTGAACCTAGGACCTCCAGGTACTTTTGACCTTTGGAGCCAAGCTCAAACCAATCAAGCACCATCCTGGTGGTTAACAACACTGAATTTTAATTTCTGTGTCCAACAAAAAGATAGCAATTCTTGACCTAAACACATAATTCAGTAAATTGGTTTAAAAAATTTCAAGATAAAATAAATAAATCTTGGATGCAAATCCATTTATTTGTAATGATGATTCTGGGTAATCATGTAGACAGATATCTTCAAACTAAAATCTTTCTTAAAATAAGAATGCTGATTAAGTAATGATTTTTTTTTCGGGCTGAGGGGAGTATAATATTTTTCAAGATACGAGTACTCACCTTCGGAGATCCCACCGTTCTCTCTGCAAATGGCTGCATAGTGCGAACCGGCCAGTTCCACCTGTGCAAATCGCCAATTGGTTGAGAGGAGAGATGGGTTCTCTAGAGGCACGATGACCATCGCAGAATCCTACACAGAAAAACAAGAGATTTGATACTCGGATGATCGTATTTTTGCATAACTAGTCATGTAAAGCACATGCTCCACACCCTGAAGTCAACAGTCTGTCAAACCCTCCGGTGGCCCGCAAGGACTTGAACTGGTGACCTCCGAGGGAAACAAACCAAAGGTTTCTACCAGTTAAACTACCCTTTATTGGGTGCCATAGTGTAAAAAGTGGATCATAATATTTATAGAATATTTGGAAATGAAAGGCATTCTATTACATACCTTAGCGTTTGGATTTGGATTTGCAGACCCGAACCTAATAGTAAAAGTATTGAAAGGAGCACCTGCGAAGCCTGTTCCCAATGCTTTAACGTATGCTTCCTGGAATTACGTTTTTTTATTTAGAAAGAAGATTTGAAAAGTATATACATTTGTTTCATATAAACACATCAGACACACTACTTGAACCCAAATCTAGTGCCCACTTTCAAAATGACTCCACTTGATACAAATGGCTTTGTGCTAAACATACTCCCGGTCCTTGAAGGATAACCACTACAACGAAATTGGCTTTATGGGACGCCTAAAATGTCTAAGCGTCCTAATAAAATACTTTTTAAGACTTAATTTTATAGGACCAAACCAAAAAGCATCATATCTAAAAGTGTTACAATAGGTTTATAGGACGTTTTTAGACGTTTTAACAAGTTTTTTAGAATGCTTAAAATAAAGTGTTGTATTAGCTATTTTACACGACACTATTTGAAAAAATTTCCTAGTAAAATGATGGGTTTATAGTACACTTCTAAAAGGAGTCCTATAAAATAGCTAATGTGACACTTCATTTTAACAACGTAGTGAAGAACTTGTTAAAAAAGCCCAAAAGCATCCTATGAATCAAATGTAACAATTTTAGATATGATGCTTTGAAGTTTGGTCCTATAAACTTAAGTTTTATAAAATATTCTATTAGAACGCTTTAAACATTCTAGGCGTCCTATAAAGCCAATTTTCTTGTAGTGAACTTTTAAGCATTCTTGACTTTTTGGACCATTACTCTTGACCTTTCGCTGCAAACAAACCACGATTCTTGTACAGATGCAAAAGAGAATACTACAAATTGTAAGAATTAGCAATTTTGGACAAAAGATGCAGAGTAAAAGATCTTGTAAAATTATGTTACCACGATCTGTTTAAAATCATTGATTCTTGTCAAACATAGCCTCTTTTTTTGCAATTTCCAGAAAGCGTGGTTAGTTTACAAGGAAAAGCCAAGCACGAGTTTCAAAGACTCAATAACTCCTAAATAGTAATGAAGATCCAATGTCTGAAGTTGAACAAAAGGCAAGCAAAGAGCCATATGTACTTTATTAGTAAAGCCTAGGTATTATGCTACATTATACGTGTACCGTATAATTGATAGGCAGTGCATAAATAGAACTATTTTTGTTGCTCAAATTGATATGCAACACATAAGCAGAAGTATAGTTAATTAGTCCAAAATCAAAAGCAAATGAAAAGAAACCTTTAGTGTCCATAGTTTAATGACCTCCTGGCGCTGAACTTCAGGGTCTGAGATCGCACTTAATCGTTCTACTTCTTCACGAGAGAAGTACCGTCTGGCAAATGATAAAATATTGTTCTTCATCGTCCTTTGTTTTTCTTCTACATCAATACCAATCTATATTTTTTTTAAATGTAAAATAAGGTCATCAGAAACTATGTCAAGAGAGTTATTGGCACACAGGAACAAGATCCTGCAGATGAGTTAATAATGAGTAATATTTTAACAGAAATGAGAAAGATAAGGGAACACACCGGAGAGCCAACGGTTATTCCACAAGCTATCAAAGACGAGGTATGGGAGAGATTAAAATGTAGCGGTGGTGGATGCCAATCATCGCTGTGTTGCCAACACACCTATAAACAATTATGATTGTATAATCTCGCGTTTGACCTTGAATTAGTAAATGGTGTCTTAATTAACCGATAAGAAGATCAATTTAACCTCAGGTTTCCCATGGGCGTTCTTTTTGAACTCAATAGACCTTGGGCTAACTTGAGAACATATCTGATCTAGTCATGAAAATATATTACGTCAGTTCTACGTGTTATCTGACAAGTAGAAAATGATAACAAGCAACTTTATGAACACAAATGAAGTGTTTCAGCATTATATATTCTGGTAAATTATTCTATCAAGTATGACATGTTTGTCAAGTGCTTCTGCAAGTTATGAATAAAATAGAAGGCCTTTACATCTAGTTATAGTAGTTCGAACGAGTGCACGGGCTAGCAGAGCATTTTTTTGCAATTCATCTCTACGCATACTGCAAACATGTTCTTTCTCAATTGGTGATAGAAGGTCGACATATTTCTTCATTAGAGATTCACTCTTCACTTCATTGGGTAATATATACCATAGATGGGTTTCCCTAAATAATCAAAGTTGACGTGTTAGTAAGATGTTGGATAACTACTATTAGATAACAAACTATGTATCAAAAAAACACTCTAAAGGCATGTAGAATCTAGAATCAGGATCATACATTTGAGATGGAAGTTGTAAGGGTGAAAGAAGGCTTGAAGTACAAAACATCCTCTGATTAACACAGTGTATCTTTATCTTTAAACACAGTTTGCAGCTATATGGAAACATATATCCTCAGATAGGAGTATTCTCATAATGATGATCCACTATCTCCAATGCATTTCACAGGAGCAACCTGAATGAAAGCCAGAAATATTCTCAGCAACAAACAACTTCCTATATGTTACATGAATCACAAACTTGTCGGAGATTTTTTTTAGAATTTTCCTCAACTAAAAACCTCCAAAAGCAACAAGTCAACATAATTTACAGAAGAGGAAACATGTTACATGAAAGATCAAGGGTGATTTCCACTTTCACAATGATTACAAGGAGAAATAGATAAGAGGGTATTATGATGATGATCAGGTTTTTGTCAACTAGAGAGGAGTTCTTCAGAGAGAAGAGAGAGAGAGAGAGAGAGAGAGAGAGAAGGTATCATTGGACTGTAAAATAAGAACTGCCTCTGTCCATAGAAGAAATCCATATTTGATCATTCTGGTTACAGACTGAAATATAACTATTATTTTAAACTATGACAATATATTACGATAATGAAAGCATTTTCGAACTGAAGCTAAAAACGTCCATGTGCCATTTAAATTTGTAAGGTAAAGAGATTTGAAATATTGGACTCTTTTCAGGGACAAAAAGAAGCAATAGGTGTGTGGTCTTTTGGTTGTCTCCCCAAATCTGTTCTACACAAAAGGCATCCATAAATGCCGCCCAATTCTGAAACTGTGCGAGTAATGTTCAGCACCAAAGAAATATTCTAGCAAGACTAAAACCAGCCAGTAACAAATAAAATATATTCTAACTATAATAACTTGGTCTTTCTAATTCTTATTCTATTTTTTATTTATCTAAATTTGAGAACATTCTGATCTTACCCTACTTACCCCATCAATGGAATAAGTTAGGTTTATAAATTTAAACCTTGTTGCTTGTTGTGCATTTGATGATGCACAACAATAGAGAATGTGGACCAATGTGAATCATGGGTAATTGTAATATACTTTCATAATGCACTTGACCTATTTGACCTATTTTAATTTATGTTTCAAACATGTATAGCAGGGGCCGGACCTAATATTATATATTTTCAAAAATACCAAAAATACACCGGGAACGATGTGTTAGTAAGGTTTGGGGTTATCCAATCGGACACATTTATCTTTTACTCTATGACAGTTAAATCTTTTCTTATGCATGTCATGTTTTATAGTGTATTTGATTTAGGCTAAAGCCTCGAGAAACCAAAAATTGATCATTGTTTTAATAATCCTTAGAGGATAACTTGGTGTTGAAGGACGATTAGTGAGATACATAACCGGGGGACATTAGTAGAGACCACCTGGACGAACCACAACACAAATCATCTATTAATTAAATTGTTCTTTCTAATCTTTATACACATTTCATTCGTTTCATTGGTGGTAATAGCATGATCTCACTATTATATTCGCATCAAGTAGTAAAGACGAGCATCAAGATACATAACATTTACTTGATTACAAACCATATGGACCTTAAGAGATGATTCCAGGCATTGTGTGTTGAAATTGTATTGATAATTCAGTTTGTGTTCACTTTGTTTGATTGTGTGTCCCCAACCCAATTTTGCAGCCAAACACTAAATTAAAATATATATTCGCTACCCAAGAAGAAAGCTTAGCCTAAAATATGATCCTACCCGTAATCCGAAAATATATCATGGGTTGAAGATGGAGTAAGAAAAAGGGAATAATAGGGGATCAAATGCAGAGAAAGGATAGAAAACGACCCAAGTAAGACAAGCACCTGCCCAAAAAAAAGTGGGGCTAGTTTGCTCCCAAAAAACAGGCTAGTTGTCCGAGCACGTGAGAAAAGAAAAGGGAAAATACACTAAGGACCCTTCAGACTATGATACACTGAGGATCCCTTGTTCCTCCTTAGCCATCAGTTCTTAAGTCATCCCCTATAGCCCCACTACAACCCATCAAAGACCTGGATGATCTTCTAGAAAACTTGACAACTGTAAACTTGTATTTTGTTAGTATTCCTTGTATTACTACTAGATTCCTTTCTGAGATTTCGAGAAGAACTAGCATGCTTTCTTTTAAACAGCATACACATAACAGATAACCCACAAAAGAACAAACACAAATTCTGAAATTCATACAACAAAATTGAGCAGTTAAGATTCGATGTTCTTGTTCACCTAAATTTAGACCTCAATCACCTAAATTTAGACCTTAATTTCCACAGAAATGGTTCTAGACTTCTAGGGGAATAGGGGATGCTGCTGTACCATAACAGATAACCCACAGAAATGGTTTTAGACCTTAATTTGCACGGGTAGGAGTTAGACCTTAATGCTGCTGTCAAGGTGTAAGTGTCTATCGCCCCTGGGAATAGGGGATGCTCATGCTGCTGTACCATAACAGATAACCCACAGAAATGGTTTTAGACCTTAATTTCCAGTTTTCCACAGAAATGGTTAGACCTTAATGCTGCTGTCAAAGTGTAAGTGTCTATGAGTCTATCGCCCCTGTCCCTGACCATCAACAACACAACCATATTGTTTTTTTCTTAAGGTTTTGATTTCAAAACAAAAAGTGCAGCAGAACAGGGGAGATAAGATAACCGGATAACCCAATGGTTTAATTTAATAACTAATCTCTACAGCTGGTAGGAAAATTCAGAACAGGTTAGGTACTTAGGTTACAGAATGCCTTACCGTCGTCGAGAGCTCGCTGCCGAGGTGCTGCTGCCGCCTGCCTGTCTCTGCGACGGTGCTGCGTGCTGCCGTCGATGGCCGCTTCCAGCTTCCGCTGTCGTCTCGTCGAGCACTCGCGACTCTCGTCGATGTCCGCTTCCGACTCTTCGCTCTCGTCTCGTCACAGTAACAGTCAGTCGTGACTCTCGTGGACTGGAGTGGAGGGGCCAGTTACATTATTGTGCATACTTCAATCTTATGGCCCAAAACTAACAGCTTACTAGAAAAAAAAAAATCACAGGGGCCAGGGCCCTAAAGGCCCATTGAGCCATCCGTCCCTTTAAAGTGAACAACCTTATTTTGTTGAGGTGACAATGATGTCATAAAAAATGACAAGTGAGGTTTTTAAAGGTTTCATCGCTATAATTGTCCTAATAAGAAACCAAGTATATTAAAGTAAAGACGACTTGTCATTTATGAGAAGTAAATGATGACCAGTCACTTTTGGTAAATGTTAATATACATGTTGTATGTTGGAACCGGGGTGCTCAAAAACCCGACCAATCCAACCCAACACAACACGAAATAATCCAACCCGATGTCAAATCGAGTTGTAAAATTGTCAAACTGTAGGTATTGGGTTGATATTGAGTTACTATTATTTGAACCTAACCCAACCCGATGAACCCGGTATCCTTTTATTTCTTGGATATAATATAATTGTTGAATTTCTATTAATATATACATTAGACAATTACACTATTATGTATGCTTTTCATATACACATATTTTCTATCTATTCATATCTCTATATAATTCATTCAGTAACTGTGAACATATATATATATAAATTACGAAAATTAATTGAATATGATATACGTAAGAAATATAGATAAGTTGTGTCAAATGATTGATGATGAAAAAGAAATTATGAGTAGAAATAACATATTCAAGGTTAGAAAAATATTTTAATATACCAAAAGTACCAACCCGACCAACCCGTACGGGTTGAGTTGGGTTGCACTTTGGTTTGGGTTGAGTTAAGATTTTTCCAAATCACAAGCAAGCATTGGGTTGGGTTGTTCAAATGTCTTTAACCCGATCAACCCAACTCATGAGCACCTTATTCGGAACACCCCGCCTCCCATGTGGTTCGTTGATAAGAGTGTACAGTGGTGCATCTTCGCTTGGATCATGTTAGAGTCCCCATTTTGTAGTATTAGTTTGATTTTTTTTTTTCAGGAATGGAAAATCATATATGAATAAGGTAGGCAGTTGATAACTTTGAGAAAACATATCCAAACAACCTTAATCAACCTATGTAAAAAGGTTTCCTCAATTTTTTCAACTGTAATTTTCCAGGACAACTTACACACACCGACTAATCGACGATCACGAATTGCTTGCAGTCATCGTTAGTGAATGTTCATGGCTATAAGCGCATTGGTAGCACTTGGATTCGAATCTAAGTAGATGAGATTTTTCACTACATCTTCCGTGGTTTTTTTATAGGCTATACTGGGTTTGTTTCATTTGATTTCTAAGTTGCCATGTCCACGTGAAGTCCAAGCTCCACTCATGTCGGTTCTTGACGTCGCCACGACTTTGGTCGAGTCCAAGGCGTTATTCGAGAATAGTTGGAAAAAGGGTTTTTTTAAAAAAGTCAAACTCGTGTGTCGAATAGAAGTCAAACTTCTATTCCATAAGATTTAGGTCAAAATGGAAGATGAGTGAATGGAAATTAACCCTAATCCTGAACCAAAACCACCGAAAGGATATAATATGATCAACCCAGATGCATATAAAACATAAACAAACCATTGGTATGCATAGCATATACCAAATCACATGTCCAAACCAAATTGTATAAACTTTGACTTTTTCTGACCATCGGTCAAATAGATACCACCACCCCCGTCTGCCACCGGCCACCCATTCACCGCCACGCTTCAATCCTCTCACTTCTTGAATTTAAACGGCTCACAATCGTGCTTCCTTTGCTCTTTTCTACATTCTTTCTCAGTCCCTTCTTATGATTCGAGTTGCTCGACTGTGGATTTCTACTCTTAGCTGCTTCAACCACCCTAGTACCGCCTTCAGCCGCCCTAGCACCACCTTCTTCAACCATAGTAGTTTGACTTTGATGTTTAGAGTTCAAATCATCCTCAAATGTGTCTTCATATCGTTTTTCCAAGGTGGGTTCTTTGATTGAAAAATCTTGATCCTCCATGTTCACCTCATTGGTCTCGTCGATTGTTAAAGAGCAGTGGGGTTCGTTGTTTTCGTCAAAATGATCAAATCGTGATGCGGGTCCCGGCTCAACCATCGGATCTTCTCTTTCCCTTAGCGTCTTGACGATCAAAGTCTTCAGAAAGTTCATAACTTGGACCGCATACATCAGCGCGGTCAAAGGATCCGCCATCTGCATATTAGCAAACGTTTTAAAAACCAAACAAACTCCGTATATCCCGGTAGGGTCTAGGGGTAAAATGTAAGCAGACCTAACATCTACCCAAAAAAGAACAGATATAGAATGTACTTTCCATAAAGTTTGAAACTTTTACATGCCGAGTCATATCTGGAGTAAGATATAAGCAGATCTGACCTCTACCCAAAAGAGTGGAGCACGTATAGAATTTTCACTCCATAAACTTTGAAACTTTCACATGTTACAACTCACCTGAGTCATATTTGGAGCGAACACCATAGCAATGTTACGAGCATTCATCTTGTTGAGATGTTCAAGTTGAGCAACATCCGCCATCAGGTTCACGGCCCAATTCATCAACGAAGCTTCTGTTGGCGGCAGCAGCCTCACGAGCCGAGCACACTCATCTTCCGACTGCGCTTGCATTACCTGCTCCGGCTCAATCGTGTCCAATACCCCATTTGGCAGTTCTCTAAACCAAGCCTACACAAAAACAAGCACTTAACAAGAAAACCAAACCAAACAAGCCCAGTATATCCCACCTAGAGGTGGGGTCCAGGGGTCAGATATAAACAGACTTGACCTCTACCTTAAAGAGTAGAGCAATTGTATCCATGAAGACCCCAACATATTTTGTTAATCACATAGATATCAAGAACCAATCCCTATGCCATTCCTTCCAAAAAAAAATGGATGATCCGACGTTTGAGGTCAAACGGGTTAAATTCTAAAGTCAACATTTACCGTTTCGCTTCATTAAATTACAAAATAATCCCTAAAGCAGGAGGTACAAGACAGAAAACCTTTATCCCACATGGTATGGTGGTTTCATTCAGATAACAGCTATGCATACATCAATAACACTTCATTGTACTTGTATTAATTGAGGCCTAGTTGTCTACATTAATAACCACTAACATCCAAAACAGATTGGCTGATTAATCATGTCTAGATAAGCATTAAGAGTAGAATTCGCGTTTGAGAAGAACATAATTAGACGTATGGAGGTGGTCCTCGTTCCGCCATGTGTCTACCCCTATACGACCATCTGTATCGGCGCAATTACACCCCCAATTTCTTAAAGTGCCACATCAGCTTTAACAATTTCTTAAATTTTTCACACATATTTGTGCCAAAAAGAAACAAATCAAACAAGCCTAGTAAAGCCCACCAGGTGGGGTCCGCAGAGGGTAAGATGTAGGCAGACCTGACATCTACCTGAAACAGTAGAGTGGTTGTTTTTGTGAAGATCCCTCGCTTGTAGAAAGTGTGACAATGAGAGAAAGATCGATAGGATAGAAATTTGAAAAGTTGGCTAAGAGTAAGCAATAACATACAAATAGAAGCAGGTACAAGAAAACATTTGTGTCATATCTGCAAAAATTGCTACGTACATTGATGCATATCTATCTCTTTGTGTTCGACCATATAAGGACGAGTTTAAAGCAAGTGGCAAAATGGGTACCTTAATAAGACCTGCTAAGCTGTGTACATCAATGTTTTCGGGCACTTCTCCTCGGTTCAGTTGTTCCCTTATTTGCTCTTCTTGTCCATTATCACCGTTGATTCTAAAGATTCCTTCAGCCTGCAATTTAACAGGCATAACGACACTTGTTTTTAGTTCAAAATGGGAACTTTCAGGAATCTGAAAAAGTAACGGGATGCATTGATGAGTTGTACCGTACAACTCATCAATGCGTTGGATTTAAAACGCACCTGAAGGCCTCCTTGAGCATACAAACGCCTTTGCATCATTAGAAGGATCGTGGGCACGCTGTTTCCTCTAGAGTCAAATGAGAGCTGCATAGATTCGGTTGATACCCCGAAAACACTTGTGCTGTAAAAAGAAACCAAGTTAGCTCCAATTTTTCACATGGTCCACAAGAAAAAAGACGCATTCTTTACGTATTTCATAAGGGATCATGGTCAATTTGAGCCTTGATAAAGAACCCAACTTTTAAAAATGCAACGGTAAGATTGTGTACCCAAAAGGAACCTTGGTGCACCATACTTGCTCTTTTTAAGCACTTAAAGTGCTGGTTGGAGTCCAACATCAGCTTGACACATACCGTCAAACCTCTCTCTCTATATATATATATAAATAAATATGTTGTAACCGCTCGTTTAATCACGTCCATCAGATCATCCCTTGGTAAGGGTTGATAAGGTGTTTTCTAGTTTTTCATCTATTTAAAGTTTTCTCCTGAACCTCCCTCAATATATATATATATATATATAGGTGGAGGTTCAAACGAAAATACCTTCATTTTACGAGAACGCGAGAACACCCTTATCACATGTGTAAGAACCTCCCTCTTCAAAAACTTCTTTAGAGGGAGATTCCAAAGGGGTTCCATGTATCCTAAGAGTGCTAAAGATTTCCAACGGTAGCGAACAAACATAGATTCAAAAGTATGCAGCCAAAATGAGAATTCATCAAAAAGGTTCCATTTGCTTTATTCAACATAACCCCAGATTCAACAACTATAATATGAATATTGTTAAATCACACACAGAGATCAAGGTCAAACATACAATTTTCCATCTACAAAATTGATCTAAATTTTGTAAGAAATCCAACTGGATTTTTTTTCTCCTACTTGTAACCTTCATTGTAAAGTTTGATGGGGTTGTCAAGTTTTTTAAAGAATTTAAAAATTAACATAGAATTTCAATGTCAAAATTGATAGCATTTGACTTAAAAAGTCAATCCATATCTCTCTTCCACCAAAAAAGATTAAAAACAACCAAAAGGCCAAGAAATTCCACTGAGTTGCAGGGTTAGAACTCAGAAACCCAATATTCCTGATGCATGATTCATAGAAACACAACAGACCACAGAAAGATGAGCTACAAGGGTAGTACAGTACAAATGAAGAAAGCACAAAAAAAGTTGAAGAAACCACAAACCTGGCACTGGGAGGCCTTCTGGGAACCTCAGGTTCAAACTCAACAGGCAAACCAAGAAACCCATTAAACCTATCAAACGTAACATGAGCAACATGCCTAACATTTGTAGGCACTCCAATCTCCATTTTTGAAGATTTTGAGTTATTATCAGAAGAAAAGTCCTCAAATTTAACACTATTACAAGTATCCACAAGTGATTTCCTAAAAACAGTGACTACAACATCCAACAATGAAGCCTCTTCTTCTCTCTCTCTCCTCTTTCTTCTCTCTCTAAACCCAATTCTTTCTTCTGTATTTGATCGATTACATACAGATACTTGTACCGAATACAGATTGGGACAAGGGTTAATAAGGGAAGAAGGAAATTGATGATGTGTTTGTTGGAGTAGCCCATCATTGTCATCTAATGACATCAAAGAGCTTTGAGAAGAAGATATCTGAAGTGGGGATTGAAGTATTTCTGTCATTTCAAACCCTAAAAAGCAAAAAAAAAAAAAAGATTAAATATTTCTTCAATTATAACTTGGGTTTTAAGGGAAGGGATGAATCTTGAATGGATTGATGGGCAATCTAGGGTTTTTCTTAATGGGGTTTGGTGAATTTGTGAGAATTGGGGAAGACAATGAGTTGAATTGAAGCAAAAGGGTTTTCGTATGGTAAGAAGTGAACATCAATATATATATATGTATATATATATATAATATATATATATAATATATATATATAATATATATATAATCAACATTCTTTTTCTTTCTTTTTGTTCTTTTTTTATTCCACTGTGGACACTTTATCCAGATTTTAGGTCATTCTTCACCAGGATATGGTTGTAATGTCAAGTACAGAAATGTAATGCTTTAACGAGTTGTACATTGTGCAGTGCTGGTTGTAAGATGATTCTGTGTTTACATTTTACATGAAAAGATCCAATCAAGATTGTGTTTACTTTTATTAAACATGAGAATATGACAAAAAAGCAGAGGAAACGGTCCATTACTCAGATACACGTATAAACTTACAAACCCTTTTTTTATATATTGTTTCATAAAATAACAAGTGTGAAAATGTCGTATGTATATGTTTCAAATATAACATATTTTATTTGTACAACCAATACAACTCTGATGTAAATCATCTATTTTATTTATATTTTCAACTTTTTTAATAGATAATCTGTAACTATCTTTTTCATGTTATCAAATATTGACCATAGATAAACTAATTGATGGTTAAGATGAGGTTGTATTGGTTGTACAAATGAAATTGATACTAAAATAAACCACCTCTATATATATATATATATATATATATATATATATAAGAGAGAGAGAGAGGAGATTTAAATAAAAACCATTAATTCTTACAAATCAATGTTAGTCGTCCATCTACTATAATTAATATTTGATTTCATTTTGTTTCATAATCTAAATTCATGGATTTTTTATGTACATCTCAATCATAATTAATAAATCATGATAATTGTCCATAAATATCACGATTGTTTTCTAATATAAGTATTGATTAGGGTTTGTAAGAATTATATGGTTTGTATCTGAAACCACCTATCTCTCTCTCTCTCTCTCTCTCTCTCTATATATATATATATATATGTGTGTGTGTGTGTGTGTGTGATGATAATAAAATAAGAACCACAAAAATGTCACAAACTCGTGAGAACCGATGCAAAAATATTTTTTCATGAAAAGTTGTGATTTAAACTATTGTTTCACATATGTTTGTTCATTATTGAAAAAATCCATGTAAATATATTTTTGTATAAATAATGAAACGAAAAATACACAAAAAAAATTCACAATATAAAACAAATACATGTAAAATTATCACATTATCAAACAAATATATGTGAAACAATATATTATACCCCTATCATTTGATATATAAAAAATTATGCAAAAAATATTTTTTTTAATTTGTTCTCACGAGTTTATAACCCATATGTGTTTCTCATTCGATTTATACAGTGTGTGTGTGTGTGTGTGTGTGTGTGTGTGTGTGTGTGTAACAATTTCATGTGAAGAATAACATAGCACATGTGTTACTTTAACATAACTTGAACCATTTAATTCCGAATGAAGTGTTTTTTCCTTTCAAGTAGCAGATATTGATTAATTTAATGAAAACAACATTATTAAAGATTAAGAAATACACTGTGTTCAAGGACAAGTCTTTGATCGTTCATTCAAACCATAAATGGAAACATTGATAACATCGAAAATATCCAACAAACATTTACGAAGGAGAGAGACTGCCACAACCAACCAGCTATCCAAACCAAACAGATGGGGAACCAAATGATTTTACAGAGTAATCATGGTTTTTGGGAGAGACTTATTTATGCTCGATCGTTGTCTCATTGACTACCCACTACAGAAACTCAAATGGAATAGATGTAACATTTGAGTTGTTACAAAGACGTTAACTCTATACGTAGTTACCACAATTATGTCTGATGTCACCATTTTGCAAAAAAAAAAGTATGATGTCACCATTTAGAGTGTCCTTACTGTATTGTTTCCACAACCATTATTAGAGACGTAAATTGTGTATTACATAGGGCACGTAAATGGTGCTTGGAAGAAGGTTCTTACAAGATTTTTGTGATATTGTACTTGTATAAATGTCGAGAGTGTACTGGAAGACAATCTCTTATTTCCAACGAGCCTCTTCAACGAAAAGAATCATATTAAAGAAATAAGTGTAACGTAGAAAACAGTTAGTCGTTAATGTAATCTTTTTGTGGCAAAAGTAGAAAAAAGAAAACTATAGTGACAAGAGTTTCATTAAAGTGACATGAAATTAGGGTCAATATCAAAGCCATTGCCACCTCCTTGGAAATGAGAGCACTACAAACTGTCTACCTGAAACTGTCTTTTGGTCCGTACGTCTTGACATAAGGTTAGAATTCTAGCTCTTCCAAAGTGGTATCTCATTGATGGCTCGGACCCTCCTGGAATACCCTATCTTTGTATTTTATATTATAATTTAATATTTCTTGTGTTTTATATTTCAAAAAATAGTTCAAATTAAAATTTAAATATACTCTTTTAAATGTTATTTAATTATTTATCACATTTAAATTTTATTTGATAAATATGAAATAAAAGATCTCCAAAGATAATGAATAAACATGGGTTTTTTTAATTATATAATATTTATATACGGTAAATACAACAAATAAACTTACACACCCTCCTCATCTCTGGTGAGATTTGAACTCCTGATCTCTTAGGAGACTACGATATTGCTAGGCCAAAGGCCCATTGATAAAATGAATTATTTTTATATCTAAGAAATTGCAGTATCACATTGTATGATTTGAATTTTATTAATTTAACCTAGATTCTTGAAATGTGTTTACCGTTTACGTTGTATTTTACAACGTGGGTATGTCATGCATATAAAGGACGCAAAACAACAAATTTCTCTTGATTTTCATTTTCATTACTTCATCTGTCTCAAAATATGTGTCCATAATTGAAATGACAAAACAATTTTAGATATGCATAATTATTTTACTTTTTAGTTAACAAAATGACAACTTTACCCTTATTTAATTTCTCTCTTTCACAACTCTTAAATATTTATGAATTAATTAAGGATATATTTGAGAATTAGTTATCTATTTTAAGAAAAATGCATAATACAAATTAAAAATTACATAGAAAATAAAAGACGAAGATTAGAACCAAAAACTACACAAAATCTCGACATTTTATTACTAATCATATAGATAAATTGCCGTACATAAATGGGAATAGGAATAGCGGGAAGCTGACAATAAATAGGTGAAAATAGTAAGATTGTTGATTCATATCACGTTACTATCTGATATTTTTTTCAACAAATGGTGCATACTAAGAGGAATTGGACTTCAAACACCAATTATTCTGTTTATAACAAAAAGTCTTGCGTTTTATCATGACAATTGAGTAAATAAAAGATTGAACTCATTCGTCGTCAACTACCTACAGATAACAAGAAATAAGGGATTTCAATGTAAGGTTCTTATTAGCAAAAAGTGAACTGACTTGTAGCGACTACTATTGTAGAGAGTTCTTATAAGAACCTCATTTCTTATAAGTTTTTGTACAAGAATCTTGGTTCTTACCATGGAGTTTGTCTCAAGTGACATTTTCCTTGTTTTAATTTTATTTTCTTGATTTTATAATAATTATTGATGTTGAAAAAAATCAATGGGACCTACAAAAAAGAGGTTCTTATAAGAAGTACTATTGTGGACTTTTAAGAGAGTTCTTAATTTGATGAATTATACATGGTGGTAACACCAGAAAATGCAAAAAGAAGGTTTTTATAATAACCTTATTGAAGATGCTCTAAGGGGCCCTCAATTTCTACTCTATCTCCAAGGGACTCTGGAATTTTAGATCGTCGGGAACAAACTTACATATATCAGTTAAATTAAATATCAGTAATGAAATATAATAAATTTTCTTTTAAATAAAGGAAAAAATGTCTCATTACTTGATACCATGTTCCCAATCAGTGTATTATTGTTTGTATGTTTATCTGTATATGTCGAAAAAGAAAATGGGTTCTATGTTTACGTACAATAAAAGCTAAATATTAATGACGTTCTCAATATATTTGAACAAAAAATTGTTATTTTAATGGCGGAGAGAAAATCACCTTCAAATATCAAACCTAAAGTTTCATGATGACACAAGTTCATTAAACCATTTGAGTTATACCGCACTCGTCAAGTCTGTTAAGTCTCATGGGGATCTAGTGGAAAATCTCATCTACCTTGAGTTCGAATCTAAGTGTTGTCAAAGCCCTTGTGGCCATGGAGGTTCACTTGCAATCACTCTAGGCCATTCACGGTCGCCCGATTTGGATTAACCATTACACCTTAGCTAGCCTCGAAACTCACTGTTACCAAAAACACACACACGTAATCATATATCTCGTTGATGCGTATTTTCCTGTAATTAATACATTTATTACTATTCTTTAAATTTAGGACTTTTTTTTTATTAACCTGAATATACAACCCGCTATGTGAGTCGACTAATCTCAGGGCGACCACCTGCTTTGCAGATAGCCTGAAGTCACCGCATTTGAACCTCCATGGCCATAAGGGGATTTTTATTCCTCCTTGGATTTGAACCTGAGACCTCCTAGTACTTTTGATCTTTGGAGTCAAGCTCAAATCAATCAGTCACCACCATTGTTTCTCACACAATTGGTGATTGAATTTTCTTGGTTTCTTGTGATTGTAAACCTAGCAAGAGTGTTAATTACTTAAAATTAATAACCCAAAAGGAAGTATTTGATGTTGGGTTAAAGTGTTGCATTTGATCATTATTTATGGCAAGATTTGGGGCCAAATTGCATCATTACCAAGGCACACTTATGGGTTGGTTTAGTGCTCATTGCTCAAGCATGTGTTATAATTAAATATAAAAATATACATTATAACTATTCTATATCAATTATGGTAACATCAAGAAATATCTTCTTTTTACTATTTTAAATGTTTAAAATTAAATTATTTTCATAACAACTAGAAGGGTATTCGCACAATGTAGCGAGATACATCTCGATTTTAATGTTTTGTTTTTCCTTTGTCTCAATCGATGTTATAATATGATTTTATTTGGTTTTGAGAAAGTATAATGTTTTTATTTTTAAATAAAATATAAATATGAAGATATGATAAAAATATTGATATTAAAATATTTAAAATTTCTCCTTTTTTTTGTTTATTTCTTCAATTATTTTTTTAATTTTTGGTTTAATAATATAATTTTTTTATAAAGATAATAATTAAGTATTTTGTTAGAAGTTAATGACTATCCTAATTATATTTTAGATTTTTTATATTTAAAATAAAATGTTTATTCTTTATTTAATTATGTTTATCTGCAGTTAGTTACATGAATCTTTAATAAGTTGTACTTACGCCCAATTTACTTGTAATCTTGAATTTTAAGTAATATGCATCAATAAACAGTACTTCATACATAAAACATGGTTTTTAAGAGTTTTTGTCAAATGCTTTATAATATAGTATAGATTAAAAAATCCATCAATTTCACGGTATTTTTAGATTTTTTTTAAATAAAAAATTAAGACATTATTTCATTTTACTTGTAATCTTGATTTTTCTTTTTATACAAATTATATAAAATCTGTTACACTTATTCTTACAGATTTATTTGATGTCCTTATTTTTCTTTTCCTTTTAGGAAAAAGAGTGTCATAAATTTCTCTCGTTGCATAATTGTCCGACAAAGTTCAAGCAGTTATCGTTGCAAGTTAGTTTCCCATTTCTATTTTCTCTCAAGTTAGATACAATCAAGAGACTTAAATTATACAGTATAATTGTCCTGAATAAAGTTTATTCAAAGTTGCTTTTTTCCAATCTACGAGGTACCATATAATTGAATGACAATTTAAATTACTCACCAAACATCCATTTTTCATCTTGTACTAAATTACATGACATGTGTTTATTATTCTGCACCAAATCATTCAGCATCTCCCAAACAACAACTAAATCATGTTCATTATAAGTATCCACACCCCTTTTCCTTGTTCCCTTGATGTTGGTTTTCAAGGCGAAAAAGAAGATGACCTAGGAACTGTTCACTAAGCAATTATCGGGTCACTTACCTTATCAGATGAGCATAACAATGACTGAGAATCTTAACTGGTAAGAGGCATGATAAAACTGAGGTTCTCACTTGATAAATTGAGGGAGAAGACTATTACCAGACACTTGCAAACAATCCATTTTGCTGTTTGAGAATGTTACTCAATAAAGTAAGTACTTACTGAATAAATATATGATAAAAAAAAACTAAGGGGCCGTTTACCAAACACTTACCCGGTAAGCGTTTACCGGTAAAATCTAACACTATCATTTATTTATCGGATAAGATTTTGTCCACCAAAACAGTATCGTATGCAACAATTTACCCGGTAAGCGCTTACTGTGATAAGAGTCGTCGCTCTCACTTACCGGGTAAGACTCTTGGTCTTTGTCTCACTCTTAACGGGTAAGATTCTTGATCCTTACCGTATTCATCCGGTAAGGTAATGTGACTTGGTGTTCACTTACCCGAATAAGCGTTTGGTAAACAGCCCCTAACTGTCATTATAAGTAATTAGATTTAATTTAATAGAAATAGAAATCGAAATACCATTAGTCTTAATTATGTTCGTCATATGATTAAGGGGTTGTTTGGCAGTTGCTGAATGGTTTGGTGCAAAATGATTAAGTGGTCAGAATGATTAAGAGGTTTTCATGATATAGTGAAAAATGAAATATAATTGTTTGGTAATTGTTTACAATGAAATTAGTACACTTAATGGTTAAGGGAGACTCATAATACAAAATCATTCAGAGGATTTTACAACCATTAAGAGACAGATTTTTTTATCAAACAAGATTCACCTCTTAATGATTCAGATATTGCCTCTCAATGGAACTGTTAAAAGGTAAACAAAGAACCCTTAAGTTTAAATGCAATGACGTTAAAAATATGATACATCATAGGTTGGAGGTTTCCGTAACAATAAGAAAATCGATCACTTTTAAACAATTTTTAGGTTTTTTAAAATTAAAAAATAAAGATTTTATTCTGCTAGATTCTTATATTATCTTTCAAAATAAGAGGAAAAAAATCCATAAATTTTTAAACTATGATCTCAAGATTTCCAACAATGAGTTGTAATTATTATTATTTTAAAATGAATTGAAATTTGATATTTTAATAATCTATACTACCTTATAAACCAAATTTATCAAAAGTATTAAAAATAATTTTTAATATAAGTATTATACATTTATATAAAAAGTCTTAAAAACAACTCATAATGCATTAAGTACTACTACTTTCTACACTCAGTCTTAAAATCTCTTAATGTACAATTAAAATAACATATAATGCAAGTTACCAATGCATATTATTATCTTTTCTTTTTGTGTTCCCAAGATACTTTTGACACATTTCACTCATATCTCTATGTCTTCTCCCCGTCCCCCAAAATGAGATTCAAACTGATATACATCATGAGTTATTAAAAGTTCTCTCATTAATCTTCCATTCAATTGTTCTAGAACTCTCCGGCTCGCTCTCGATCTCTTGATTATTTGCTCGTGGTGTAAATTGAACACATTTATAGAGTCATTTAAATATGTTGGATTTTAAATATATTGAATTTTAAAGTGTCATACAATTTTTTTCATCGACAGACTGTAATTAGAACCATAACCCTTATTTATTCAAATTGTATTAACATGTAAAGACCAAGTGTAACTTATATCACCGTTAAATCTTCTCTAATAACATCAGTGAAACTTCAAAATCGTTAAAATTCACGACTCCCGCCGCATTGCACAGGTACACAACTAATACAATTAATGTTAAAATATTTAAAATATGTTTTTCCCGAATGACTTGAACATGTAACTTCCCAACCCATCTTAATATTTTAGTTTCACGAAAACCAAAAAAAAAAACCCCAAACCATTCTCGTACCAGTCTCACAACCATCATGTTCAACTTTTGATCGTACAAATCCCCATGTCACACAAATCTTAAACATAATAATTGTACCTTTGAAAAGGACCATTTTGATGAGATGTAAATAAAGTAGGAGCTGCACACTACGCTCCCATACAAATGCTAAAAGTGGAAGCTCTCATAAATAATAGCCGTTGGGACTTTATGATGGAACTTCACCATTCAAAATTCAAACTATCCAAACAATAAATCACTTGTTTTCGTGAAGACCGAATGCAAACAAGTTTTGACCCGACAAATTCAAAAACGTTGCCCAAAAACCAACTTCCGGTAACACTGACCCAACTACTAGTCCACGGACACTTTGGTGAGCCCGAGCCTAAAATAGCAGGTTGGCTCAATAACTTCAAACTAAACTTAGAACCATGGTGAAAGACATTGGTAGCCTACAACTTAGAACTCATAAAAAGCTCACTGGTTGCAACTTCACTATTAACTTCATAAAGAGAGAAAAAAAAACCGTAAAAATGACACTTGAACAAGAATTCAACTTCTCGAAAGCTTCAAGTCACAATACATATCTTACCAACAATGAAAATGTAATAGTATCAAGGATTTGTCTACAATCAGCATAAAAACCGATCATACTTGGATAAGCTTCGAGTATCATATAAGTTGCTGCTAGATCTATTTTTTTTGGGAAAGAAAATAAACCCGTTACATAATACATTGCAACCGTAACATACCAATCACTGTGCTCTGCTGACCGGCTCGAGTGCTTCAACGGTGACTACACTATTCCCTCTTATAACCTGCGAAAGGAGAAAATGATATGAAACTTATGATGGTGAGTTGATCTCGAATAAATCTTATTTAGTCTTGGTGCCAGGGACCTACCACCATGCCAATATCATTTTTTTCTTCACCATTCACTTCCACTGTATTGTCGATAACGAGGTTCATGAACTGATCAAAACCACGAAGTGTACCAACTACGGTCCGATTGGCATTCAGTTTGACTGCAAAACAAGATTAAAGAGAGTTTTATTTATGTTACACGACCACCCACTATTCTACAGTGAAATGAACAGACAACACAAAAGGCAGAAGTATAGGGAAAGTGACACAAAAGCAACACAACCACAAACTAACTCTACTTTTGCCGGTTGGTGGGAAGTAGAGATTGTTGATCAATAAGGGCGTGTTTGTTATGCCGAACAGAACAAGACCGGAAAAAACATGTAGTCCCATGTTCAGTGCGACTATTAGACATGAGACAAGACTAAGTGGGACAAATATGTATTTTTTCTGTCCCACCAAAATAGGTAGAACAAAAATCAGGGAGACGGAAAATGTTTGGTAAATTACTAAACTACCCACATCAAATTAAAACCCCAAGACCGTCCATAATTCTTTCACCCACCTACCTCACTCTTGCTCATCCAGTCATGTCCAATCCAGTCCCCTCCGCGTAACGAACACACCTAAGGATCAATTACTGAAAATGCTACAATGAAGCAAACAGACTGCACCAGAGCAGCCCACATGTATACGAATACAGTTTCACTTCTCACGGGATGCTGAATCATTGGATATTGAAAAGAAGGTTCAGAATCACCCCAAACCAAGTTATTGACTAGTCAATATTGGTGATGACTAAGAAAGTGCTTGCTCTCATGGTGTAGGCAAGTCAACTATCTGATTACTACTGCTATGGCCTTTTTTGATATTCCTAAGAGCAAAAAGTATGCAAACAGATGGATGGTCAAAGTTTCTGAGCAGAAGACAAGAAAATTATAAGTGCATATATACTAAAGGGAAAAAGATAGCAGACTGAAGGGAAAATAACATACTGGCTACCAAAATTAAACAAGCATACAAGATTTAGTATATGGGAAATCAAAACTTTTACGATTTAGGTGAACCACACAAAGATAGGAACCAAAATGTCAGGATGGCATGTCCATAAAGAATGTTAGAGGAATAATTGAAGAAGGCAGAAGCAATCCTGGCAGTTGTAGTGTAGAAGGGATTGAAATAACGTAATTGGAGGAATGCAGTTTGATGATGACGAATTCGTTAATGGTGGATCATACCATCTTTTTAATTGAACTTTCAACTTCATACGACATCATTTTTTAGCCTTCTCTAATTATTTGCTTAGATTAGTTGGCATGACATGAGCTTATCACTTTGGTCCCTTTCTTTTAGCAATCTCATCTTGGAAGCATCTAGAACGAGTTGCAGACTGTGAATATGACTAGGAGGGATGGAGGCCAATGTGTCTAAAAGAACCATACTTGAAATTGTAGATTGAACAAGCTTTTGGGAGACTTGGAAAATTTGGACAACTTTGAAAACCAAAGGTGAAAGGAGCACTAAATGAGTGACGTCAATCACCAATATTAAACACCAAGCCATTTAACTTTTTTTCATTTTTGGGGAAAGGGTGTGTAATTTTAAGAGAAGAGAATTAGCTTTAGCTCACTGGTTTATTCAATTAACAATAACTGTGGTAAACGTTGTAGTAAATTTGTGGTTGACATGCAGATTCCCATACTAAATTTGTACCATGAGCACAGAACTACTGGCACAATACTTTAGAAGATGTATTTATGTAAATACATGATTGATGTTGCATATGCTTTTCTTAAAGGCAGCACACCTCCAAAAATTCTGTCATGTATCCATTCTATGTTCCCCTTTCAGAAAATCCAACATCCTTCAAACATCAGAAAGCATTTGACCTTATGACCAAGCGAGAAAAATGCAACCCCTGACCTTCCCACCAATCCCCAAGGAATGGACGCATCTCGTAATATAAGTTTAACAGAGTACTTTGTCCAACCATAACATAAAATGATCATGTACATAAAGAAAGGGCAAGATGTCGAAGTTCAATTCCATAAACCCATACCAACATATTGGTAGATAAAATCTTCTTACTAGTAGAGCCTATTTTTATTTCAACTTATACCTGGACTTAGACGTAAAAGATGATGTTACGGGAATTTAACATAAATGCAAAAGATCATACGGACATAAACAAAATACAAACACTAGCTCATGAAACAGTGATATGACTAAAATTTCATGACATAATTTCCTGAACTGAATCACTAAAAAAAATAGAACAAGGGTCCAACAGGGACACTGCCAAAAAGGAAAACAAGCCCAATTGGTGTTCAAGCAATAAGATTATTTAGGCATCTAGACACCTGCCTCGGTGTTCCTTATCCACTTCAATTCCTTGAAACCCGCTTAATAGTCTTTCAATCTAAACAGAATTACGCAGTTAAAAACATGATTACACAGCGTTAAGTGTAATTAAACGATCACAGCATTTTACTTTGTTAGTTTCTGCTCTTCTAATTCTCTATGGGATGTTAGTTTACCAAGTATATAGTAGGGTACATTATATCAAACTGTCATCATTGCATTATTACATCAACATATTCGTACAAGTATTAAAACCATTTACAATTTCTTTACAAATATAAATAAGTTAATAACAATATCAAACTGTTTAGGTGTCATCTCAGCATCCGACCAAAAGAAGCAAGTGTTAGAACTTAGAACGTCCATTGGTAACTTAGCTCGCTAGGGATTTTCAAAACATTGGCCTTAGTTTCATAAAGTATATTATCATAATATGATTTTCTTTACTGACATCGTAACTCATGACCACCAGAAGTTCAAGTAAACAACGAACTATTAGAAAAACAAATCTCTCGAATCTCAAAAAGAGGATAATGTAGGTTTGAACTAAATGCAGAGGCTTCAAGCTCAAATCGAGTGAAAAAGGGCCAAAAATAGAAAACCCTAGGACTCATTGCCATGCAATCTTCACTCAGAAATAGAACCAATAACACTTCCACCAACAAGTCCTCACAGTCACAGTACCTGAAAATATCATTGCCTCCTACTAACTGCCTATAAATATAGCTTCTGCTACTTTCTGTACCTCTTTCAGGTCAAAATGGCTGCACCAACAGCCATGATATAGTCCTCGCATTCTCACATGCTTCAGGATAACAATTCTCCATAATGTCTTTAATTTACAACCCAAATAGCTCAATTACAAGGAATCCATGTCAGGGGTAATATGATGTCAAGTGTTGTCATGTAATTAATTCTATTTTTCTCACCATATTTCTTGATTCGAATCCTTCAGGATCTTCACACATATCCTCTCTGATTAATGAACTTCCAAATTTATGCATTACTACATACAATGCAAACAATACACACTAACAGACATGTCAATGTAAAAGATTAGAGACATCATACAAGATATTTGTGTCCTACAGAAAAGGATCTGACCAGAAACTTGATTCAATCATATACAGGTCACAGGTGCCTCCTACAACCATCATTGAATTCAGGTACTCAGTTTTCTAAATTCCCTATGCTGTTAAAAGTTGTAGCAACTAGTAACAACTCTATCCAATAAGACTACATGATGATTTCTATACTTGAATCAAGAAAAATGCACTGATAGACTTGATTTCCCATTATCAGGTGGTTAAAAATATCTTGATACGTGCTATTAAAGATTCAATACATGCTATTGTGTAACTAATATCAGCAACCAAAATAATTGCTTGGGTAGAACAAAAAACGCTACCAAAACATACAAGATGATTTCATCTTGTGATTCTGTCAACATTTCACATTTTGGATTAATAAGTACCTCTACTCCCTTCAAATGCATAGCAAGAAATACGAATCTTTTGAAAGAAAACACGTTTACGCAGCAACAATAACAAAACTCGGTAAAAATGAAAATGAAAATGAAAAAAGCGAAAGCTTACTCTGTAGTTGCTTGTCCATGTACCTGTAAACCAATCGAAAATTTAGTAAAAAGATCGCATAACAATGGGATGAACAAATACATTATAGAAAATATCACAAGAAGCTTATTTGGAAGAAAAAAAAAAACCTAAAACGAAGAAACCCTAATGAAGTGTACCCGAAAAAAATTGAGAACTTACTTTTTAAGATCTGGAGGTTGACCTGATCTGCTCATGGCGAATCCCTATGAATGGAGACAGCGAGACTTGAAGATGATGAGGGAGAGAGATCGAATTGGTTGAAAATCGGTGAGGTTTATGACGAGCAAAACCCTAATATCAATACGATTTTGCCTTCTTGTATATCTGTTTAACTTTATCTTGGAACCCCTGTAATATAACTTAATTCTCATTTGGACCTTCAACTTCTTAAAACATTCTAAATGTATCATTTTTCTTCCATAAATCTTTAAATCATAATAAATAAACACTTATCATTTTCATAAATATCTCAATTGATTGGGTTGCATTAGTTGTATAAATGTGATGAATTTTGCATTTAAAACGTTTTCTCTCTCTCTCTCTCTCTCTCTCTCTCTCTATATATATATATATATATATATATATATATTGTTTTTTATATATTTCATCTTCAAGCTAGATTATTTTCTATTTTTATTCATAATTTTCTTTTAAATTTTTTGTCAAAACATAATTCTTATTCAAGACAAGATCGGAGGCAAAATGGTAATTTTAATCATTCATACAATCGATTCAAAAATAATTACCAAACAATTAATTTTCTATTCGACACTAAATCATACAAAGTATGTTAACCATTATTATTGTTTAATCATTCTACATTAAATGATTTCGATAATATGCGTAAAACATCCCCTTAGTTGTTCTTATTATTATAAATTTATAATAATAAATTTATTTTATTATCAAATTTTTGTACCGCCTCTCAATGGGCGATCTCAATCCCTAATTCAGATTGGCTACGAGGTTATGTTATCTTGTAAAAAATAAAGGTTAAGAGAGAGAGATGAGCGATCAAATGTAAATCATCCAATTTGTATAAATCGTGCAAACCATCTTCATTCGTCGATTTCATTGTTTAATCTTATGAAATTTTTTCATAAAATTGTTTAATCTTGTAAAATTGTTTCTTATACTAGTTTTTTTAATGAAGTTGTTTTATATATGGTTATGAAATTGTTTCATATAATACTTAATGAAATTTTAATGAAACAGTTTCATGTATTTCTTTAAAATTAAAATAATGAATATGATAATATCCATGATCAACATATTTTACAATAAAAATGATTAATCAACCTTTCATAATTATAAAAAAATGAACAAAATAAAAAATTATGATTGGTTGAATGAGATTTGTACGGTTTGTACAAATAACGTGGTTTGCAAAGTAAACTCTCCTCTCTCTCTATATACACATGCATGCATGCGCATGTGTGTGTTATAATATAAAGTAATATTTTTGATTATTTTTATTAGAAAAAGGGGAAAACATAATAAATAGATAAAGACAAACATAGAAAATGACAAAGAAATGGATAAAAAGAGTGAAATGTCTCTCACTCTAACATATATTTTTAACAAAGTTAGTGATGAGGGACCGTTTTAAGACAAAATGTAAACCACAAGGATCATTTATAGATTTATCAAAGTTCATGTCCTACTTTCAAACTTTTCACTAAACCTTAAAGTACCAAATTGGAGTTTTACTCTAAGTTTTATGTAGGGCTGTGCAAAACCCGACCATACCCGAATAACCCGAAATATCCGACCGAAAATAACCGATCCGAACCGAACTATTTAACCCGACCAAAACCGAAGTCCGAATCCGATTCATACGTCGGGTATAGAGGATCGGGTAGGGTGGTTAAATCCACCACCCGAACTCGTCCGATACCCGAAAAGCACAAAAGGGTTTTATTTCTTCTTTAGGGATGTTGCTTGCTGCCGTGTGTGTTTCACTTAGAGCGGCTAACAGGTGTTGTTTCTTCTTCGAAATGAAGAGCGACCATCGACGACTTGCCTATCTCATTAGTCATAGTGTAGCAAAACAGGTTCTTAATTAGTGTAGTAACTTATTAGTCAAAACAATAACAAAACAGGTTCTTGGCTATGATCTTGGGCATGGTGGAAGCCAATCCAGGAATAAAGGTAAGCATTCATATCAACTCAATTTCCATCCAGTCTAGAAGTTGATTGTTGCACATTGAGATGATGAATACAGTCTACAAAAATATTGTTAATTAATTACACATCTTATTTAAAAATTGGTGATTAGTTTCTTCTGTTGTTAAGATCTGTCATTGCAGATTATAACCAAATGAAACGAGTCCAGGTAGGGCTGTGCAATTTGCTGATTTGTTGGCTGCTATTCACTCGAACCTGACTCGAAACATCCCCATACCCGATTAGACCCGAACCCCGAACAATATACTTCGGGTTGTGCCTTTGTACCCCGAAACCCGATCAAGTTAGACATTTTTGGATCTGACCCGACCCGACCCGACCGATGTACAACCCTAGTTTTATGTTCTAAGATAACTTTTTAGGCCCATTAGCCAGTAAGCGAGCTTGAAAAGTCATCAAGATGGTGAAAAGTCTTGAATTTGTTATATTAAGCTTGTTGGACTAAAATAATATATTGGCCTAACTCGTGTTCGATCCAAACCCATAAATGATCACGTTTATCATAGACATTTAGACATATGCCGAAAAATGTTACCCAGAGTCAGTTGCATCACATGTTGTCTAAGTTGTACCGTTAGTCTAAGTGCTCAAACAACTACGATAGATACAACACTTATTTAATTCACATATTTATACTATATTCTAAAACATTTGACAAAAACTCTTAAAAACTATTTTTTATGCATGAAGTACTGTATATCGATGCATATGACTTAAAATTCAATATTACAAGTAGATTATGCATAAATACAGCTTATTAAAGCTTCATGTTTGAATTCGTGTATCTAACTGCAGATAAATACAATCAAATAGAGGATAAACATCTCATTTAAAATAGAAAAAATCTAAAATATAATTAAGATAATTATCGAGTTCTAACAAAATAATTAATTATTATCTTTATAAGAAAATTATATTACTAAACCAAATATAAATTACTTCATTATTGAACCTAAATTAAATTATGATAAAAAATCAAATAAAAAAATTACACAAAAAATAGGAATTTTAAATAGTTAATTAGATACTAATATTGATATATTTTTGTCAAATTTTTATGATATATTCAAATTTATATTTTATTCAAAAATAAAAACATAATCGTTTTTTTCAAAATCACATTCATACTATGATATCGAATGATATAAATAATAAAATGAAATATTAAAATCAAGATGTATTTTGTTGTATTACATGAGAATCTTTCTAGTATAACAAATATAAGTATAAAAATATCAAAAAAAAAAAAAAAAACTAAAAATTGGATGGTGAAGCTTATCATTTTGTACATGTATGAACCCTTAGGTATACCTATAAGGAAACAAAACATATTTATAATAAAAGTCAACAGGATAATTATTAGCTCAATCTATACATTTATATAAGAAAGTAAAATAATTAAAAAAAAATTAATAAATGTTCAATATTTTCTAAAAATTAATAAAATAAAAGGCTTGGTATTTTTATACTTAAAATGAAAATTCATGGATCACAAATGAACTCAATTTTTTCTTTTAATTTTTTATATCATTTCAAATAATCAGGCTTAAAAATATAAAATAAATACATTTAAAAGAAAAGGAATTATTTATTCATATGCTACAATGGTTTCATTACTTCATATTTTGGTGTTTAGTTAAATAAAATATCACTAAAGCTCAAGTATGGTGTACATGTAAGCATAATTTTAATACTTTTTTAAATATTTTATTAATTTTTTTTACGTAATTATATGTGGTTATTTGTTTTTCAGTAATTAAAACAATTTATTTTAATTTTGAATTTAAATATAACATCTTTTAAGATAACGTGTGTTTTTTGATATTGAAAATGACCTTATCTGACCTACGAATCTTTAGCTTAAATCTATCAAAATTTGTCGATATCTTTAAAATTCTGTAGACGCCTAATCAAATGATAGCGAAGGATTTTGTGAGAAGAATAGTTAAGATAAGAAACGTGAGAAGGGATCTAGATCCTTGATCACCTCTAATCTCAAACTCACTCATAAATTACGCTTGATACAGAGACTGATCTGGTGCATCTCATCGTGGTACATCTCCTCCTAATGTGCATTCAAGGTGGAGATCTCTTCTTACACTTAACACCTTAAATTTTTCTTCTTCCCGGAACCCAACCTATCAAATGATAAATCAAAAATAATATATAAAAATACAGGTCGACGTCTTTCTGAATTCCACGCCAACTTATATGAAAAATCAACTAGAAAATGATCGATTAATAGTTTAACCAATAACAATAATTGTCTTAATTAGTATTTCGAATTGGATTGTTATTTCTCAGTGTTTTAAGAAAATTACTTGTTATAAATGAAAATTAAATAAACATATCTTGTTTTTTTCCCTTTATAAGTTATAACACATATTTGACTCGTTTTTTAAACCAAGTAAAACTAAGTAATACAGAAAATATATCACCAACTCTTTATTAATTAACTCGTATAGCGAGTTGGATATTCAGATTAATAAAAAAAAAATTTTAATAAATAATTATTTTATAGGAAAACAGCATGAACTTATTATAACTTCAATTTTGTGGCATCCTACCATATTTGTTTGAGCCCTTGATAATAAAGGGGTGTTTGGGATTGCTTATAAAATCAATTTATTGATTTATTTCGGTATGACACTGGTAATAAACAATTTTGAGTGTTTACCGGTGCCAAATTGATAATAAGAAGTTTTTAAAAAAGTTAAACTCTTTCAACTTATAATAAGTTGATAATTGCTTTTGTAAAAAAGTATAAGTTATTTCAAATAAGCAATCTCAAACACCCCTAGTTTTGATAATTCTTACATTTAATAAAGCTTACATTAAAATATTTAATAATTCTTCTAGTTTTGATTCACACTAACAACAAAATATATTAAGATGAATACAATTTGACAGCAAAAATATTTGAAGTTTAATCATAATTTATAAATCAATGCCATCTAAGTGACAAATACATCTTAACCAATCAATTATTGCACCAATCTAATGATTTTTGTCTACCAAATCAACCTATACATATACATATACATATATATATATATATATGTATATATAGCTCACATGACCTTTGAGGATATGAAAACGTTTTGAATCCATGACGTCAAAATACTATCAAGTTTCTGTCAGTTTGAAAATGTTTCGAAAGAAGATATGTTCGTTTAAGAAATTGGCTAAGAAAGTGGCGTATAGAAGCTTATACCTCAACTGTGAGGTGTTATACGTCAAAGAAGAAAGATTGTTAAAGTATGATGTTGATGAGCATGTGTCCGCCATTGCCACCACCCCGAGAGGGTTTCTGGCAGTTTATGTAGGTGATGAAAGACGACGGTTTCTGGTTCCAACAAGTTGTTTATCTCATCCGCTTTTCAAGATTTTGTTAGCGAAGGCCTCCGAAGAGTTTGGATATGAGCAAAAAAACGGATTGACGGTTCCGTGTAGCGTTGCAGCGTTTCAAGAGGTTGTTATGGTGATGAAATGTTGTAATGGCATGTTTGATTTCCGACAATTGGTCCAAGAGTTTGTTATTTAGAGGAATCATTTTTCTATTTTCATATCTAAAGAATCAGAAGAACTATAGAATTAAAGTTTTCTACCGTCTATCCACTAAGAATGCACATAGAGCCTTTTTTTTTATACTCATTTGTTTTTTCTCGTCACTTTCAAGACAATTTATTTATATTGACTTGATATTATATATGTTCGGACATAAAAATTGTGTAACAGACATAAAAAAGAACGTAACATCTTGTAGTCCATCTAACTATACCATCTCCTTTTTTTGCCATTATGGACATCGTCATTACTAACTACGAACAGCGTTGTTAACCTTGTGGTTAATAACCCATAAGTAAACTACAATTTTGGTCCTTGTGGTTTAGATCCAACTACAAACAACGTCATTAACCTTCATTTAAATACAATAATAGTCATTGTGGTTTACATTTTACTTTAAAAATGATCCATTGACTTAACATCGTTAAAAATTCTCAGTTAAGTTAGGGGTGTTATTGTCATTTCACCTTTTTTTTTCTTTAACCCATTAACCGAAGGATAGTTGAGTCATTTCACAAATTTTCTAATTTTCGTTTACAAAATAAAAAAACATAATATATTATTTATTTATTATATATACACACATATTAAATAACCTTTGGCCAAAATTGTACTTTACTCTACGCTGTACATAAGTTGGGTTGGTCGAGTTGAAAATATTTGAACAAACTAAACCAATGTCTGTAGTTTGAAAAATTTCAACCAACCCAACCCAACCCAAACTGTCCGGGTTGAATCGTTGGTACATCATCTTATAATCTAGTTAAAAATCTTGTTTAAACGAATAAAATCAAAATTAGAACATACAAAAAAGGCTAATAGACTCAAAAAAATGAAATTTCATGCAAATAAGAAAGTAAAACTATGGTTGAAATTGTAATATGATTTTGAATATAGCTAATTATGGGTTAGTTTAATGTCTAATGTACATATATTAATCAAGAACTTGACAATCATATTAAATCTATAGTATAGAAAAGGTATTAGGTTCATCGGGTTTTGGGTTGGGTTCCAATCACCCCAACTCAATTCCAACCCAATAGAAAAGGCATCAGGTTCATCGGATTTTGGGTCGGGTTATATCGAGTTGATGTTTTTAAAAAAAATTGGATTTGGTTGACTGCGTTAGCCGGATTAGTCGGTATTTTGAGGAGTCTACTCCATATTAAATAATTGGACCATATGATATTGTCTAATCACTAATTTCTTTAGTTATCGTTCCAAATCCCAAAAAATACCTTTGTCCTTATTTGTCCATAATAATCACGTAATACAATATTTGATGATTTATCGTATAATTAGAGCTTATTTGATATTAATGCATTTTCGTGCATTTGATTTTATAAATTGTTTGGAAAATGCTGCAACACATTATGAGACATTTTAGTAATGATATGATATGTTTTCATTGGTCTATCTTTTGTTGATGTAGATTTTAGATATGATATTCGAGGTAATTCAAATATTGATCATTAGAAAGGGTTTTACCCTTTGTTTGTTGTATTATTAAAAATTATAAATTAGTCGCATTTTTCAGATTTGAGGGTGTTACATATGCTTTGGAAGGATGGCGTTTTTACGATAAATATATTTCATTTGAGAAATTATGTTTTAATCTTTCATTTGGACTATTTTATGATTATGATAAAAATTGTTTGAGCTCACTCGTTAAGCTTGACCCTTTTTTAAGTGTTGGCATGTGCATCAGGTCCTCATCGGGGAATGATACTAGCTAGTAGGGGTGCTCACGACCCGGGTTGATCGGTTTGGAACCGTTTTAACAACTCAACCCAATGTCGGCGGTTTGAAAATTTTCAACCCAACCCAACCCGTTCGGGTTGATCGGGTTGTGTTTAAACAATGTAAAATCACATAAAAATAAAGGAAACTTTCATTTGAATTACGACCGACCATTCAAGATAATATGCAAGTTCATCAAATATTTAGATATTACAATAAAAATGTTTAAACCAAATGATAATACATCAATCAACAACAATAGTTKTAGACGTTTCCAACCCCGATGCTTTCGCTTTCTTGACGTTGAGGTTGGTCATGTCATGATTGTCATCTACAATTCAAAGCTAAAGTTAAGGTCGGGTTCATCAGGTTGTCGGGTTGGGTTTGGTTCTTTTGGGCCTAACCCGATTCCAACCCAATAAGGTCGGGTTGGCTATTTTTTTTATCGATCATGCATCGGGTTACCTCGGGTTGGGTTTTTTTTTTTTTTTTTAAATTCGGGTTGGGTTGGTCGGATTCATCGGGTTTTTGAGCACCCCCACTAGCTAGGCTTGTAAATGAACCGAATGAACACGAACAGGGGGTTCATGTTTGTTCGTTTAAGTTAACCGAACAAACGAACGAACACGAACATTAAACGAACAAAATTTTAGGTGTTTGTGTTCGTTCATTTAGAAAGTAGGCGTGTTCGTATAAATGAAAAGACTTAAACTAACATAAACAAACAATTTTAAACGAACATAAATAAAGTAATGGATTGAGTTTAAATAAAGGCCCACATTCGATTAGCCCAACAATGTCTTTGACTCTTTATGGGCCAAGTTTCAAGATTTAAAATTTCCTTACATGTAAATAAAAGTTTATATAAATATATTTATATATTTAACGAACATTCACGAACGTAAATTAATGAACGAGACATTTGTTCTTCATGTTCGTTCATTTATGTAAACGAACAAAAAAAAAGTGTTCATGCTCGTTCATTTATTAAATAAACGAACTTCCCCCACGAATGGTTCATGCTATTAGGGGTCATTTACTTAAATGCTTACCCGAGTAAGCGCTTACCAAATCATATTACATTATCGGATGAATATGGTAAGGACTAAATTTTACCCGGTAAGAGCAAGATAAGAACTAAGAATCTTACCCGGTAAGTAAGGGCAACGACTCTTAACACGGTAAGTACTTATCGGGTAAATTGTTGCATACGATGCCGTTTTGATAAACTAAAATCTTACCCCGTAAGTAAATGATAGTGTTAATTTTTGCCAGTGAGCACTTATCGGGTAAGTGTTTGGTAAATGGCCCCTTAGACCATCATGCTTCCCTCTTTAAGTATCAGACATTATGTGTCTAGCTAATTCGTTGAGATTCTTGGGCAACTTCTTGAAAAACATAAATTTTATGCCATAAATGGTCACAAATAGAATATCGAACCTCGTGTTAATTCTTTGCAAGACTAACAATTGATGCATACTAACGCGTTCATCGATCATCTCAACAATAACAATCAAGTACGCTCATTCACCTGTAAATCATAATGACATTGGTTAGATGCAATTTCGAATATATCTTTGTATGAAAGTCCTTACTATAATCATCACGATTCTTAATGATCGAGTTTCCTACAAAATAAGACATTTCTAACTTATAACTTATAATCCAAAACACAGATAGCTAATTGAGAGGTCGTTTACAGAATTCTTACTCGGGTAAGCGCTTACCAAGTCATATTCTTTTATTGGATGAGTATGACAAGGAGCAATAATCTTACTTGATAAGAACGAAGACAATGACCGAGAATCTTACTCGGTAAGTGATGACGACGACTCTTACCACGGTCAATGTTTACCGGGTAAATTGTTACATACGATATCGTTTTGGTAGATTAAAATCTTACCCGTTAAGTAAGCAATAGAGTTGAATTTTACTGTTAAGCTTTTACCGAGTAAGTGTTTAGGTAAACGACCTTTGGCACTAGTTTAAGTCTAGGTATCTACACTGACACCTAAAATATCTTAAATTAAGTTATTACTTATAATATTTTAGAAATAGTATTTTTTTAAAGAAAAATAAATAAATATATTTTAAAGAGATCATATTTCAAATATATGAGCTTGCTTTTTTTTAATTAATCTGGATATCCAATCAGTTATGCGAGCCGATTAATCCCAAGACACCACCTGCTTTGCAGATAGTCTGGAGTCACCGCATTTGAACCTCCATGGCCACAAAGAGATTTTTATTTCTCCTTGATTTTGAACCTGATATCTTCTGGCACTTTTGACCTTTGGAGCCAAACTCAAACCAATCAGACACCACCCTCATGGTTAATATATGAGCTTGTTTGAGCATAGAATAATCAAATTTTTTTACAGACCCATTTGATTTGATGAAATGTTTTCAAAAAAATTGGATTTCATGAAATGATTTAGAATTTTTTAATTATGCTTGGTTTGTGAGATTTGTAATATAATTGAATTCTTATAAATAAGTTATAAAAACAAATTATAAAATAATTAATTTTTAGTAATCAATAATTACAAAACATTTTTTTTATTAACCTGGATATTCAACCCGCTATGCGAGCCGATTAATCCCAAGACGACCACCTGTTTTGCATGTAGCTCGAAGTCACCGCATTTAAACCTTCATAGTTACAAGAGAATTTTTATTTCTTCTTGAATTTGAACATGGTACAAAACAAATATTTTTAAATCGTGATATTTTATTTAAATCAAATATAAAATTAAAATAAAATTCAATTTTAAATCCTACCTACAAAACAAATGGCCCGTAAGTTTATGAACCTTTTTGGAACTTGCCGGTTTTCCCCGTAAATGACGGGTATACGATCCGTACGGTCCACAATTTCGGCTGAATAATATGATTCATTTTTTCTTTATTTTTATTAATTTAATAATAAATAAATATTTAAACCATTTAATGAAAATAAAATTGAAAAAGCTTAGGTATTAATGGTCAACTATTAATATTTTTTTAACAATTAACAAATAAATAATAAAAACCATATTATAACTTTTAGAAGCTTATCAAAACACAAGATATTGTATTTTTCGTAAATTAAAGTTTATTTTAATTTTTTTTAAATATAAAAATTAGACGCATGAAATCGACGATAAGATTTTGTATTATTTGAAGAAATAAAATAAGTAAAAAGATTGATATGGCATGATATTCACTTCTTTTTCAATCTTCAACGTCATCATTTCTTATGAATTCTCTTTTGAATTAAATTTATTA